TTTTTTTTAAATAATGGAGATCGCAATAAAATTCTCGCGGGAAGGCGGGCCGCGCCGCGCCGCTGGATGGTGGCTCCAAGCGCGGCCTCGCTTTCTCGCAGATTTTTGGGGCAGGAATCTTGCAGAGGCTGAGCCCTTTCCTCGCCTCCCCCCCCACCCCACGCTCGCTGCCTCTGGAAGATTGATCCCGCTCCTGCTCTCAGATCGTTAGCTACGCAAATCCACTCTTTTTTTTTCCCCCTTTCTTTCCCTCAAATAATAAACTCTGTAGTGCTGTGAATTTTTCCAGGGCTTTGGGGGTCATAACAAACGATCAGAGCAGGACGGTAACAGTTCTGAAGGTCACAGTCACTCAGAGCAGTTTCATTTCGAGTTTTATTCATCTTCCTCTTCAACCGAACGTTTATTCCCACTCGGTTTTGTGCACTGGCAATAAAACAGAATTTACAGTGCCTCCATTGTTGGACATCACTGGAAATAGGGTTTTACTTTGTTCCCAGCCAGTGAAACTGGAAGCGGAAGAGCTTTGGAAGGGCTGAAAAGGATAAAATAAATAACAACAATACCTCAGCAGCTCAGAGCACCGATTTAATGGTTTTTACATATGCCATTAGGTTGGACGTGATATTTACTGGGCTCTGTCCCTGCCAACACACAGTGGTACTGTAGAGGTTAACGTGAAGGGCAACAAAACCTCCAGCTCATTTTTTGAAATTCAGCCTGATGGCAAGCACTTGCCCCCATAGATTTGGGCATGTGAGCTTCGAATTCTGCCCCAAGTTTAAGATTAAAGCCACTGGATTTCTCCTAGCAGTGTTGCCTTTCCGGGTTCTATTGGATAAATTCCACTTCAGAACTCCTTAGGGAGTTCTGGTGGGACTGCTGAACAACTGACATGTTCCCTCAGAGGTGTTCATGCTCTTTTTTTCTTAATTTTTCAAGTTATTTCTGAACGGAGGGTCTGTAAAATCACAGTCCCATGGAACACCTTCAGAGAACTTCCCCTATAGCTGTCCTTGGTCTTTTGGGAAGTGCCAATTCAAAGATGGTTCACGCTATAAACCTGGCCATGTGAATGAAAAGCTGAGTGGCTTTTCTGTTCATAAAAATGAAAATTTAAGTGGTCTGCATCTTGGTATCAATTTTAAGTATTGTATCCTTTAATAAAAACCTAAACATCTCCAATTTATGCCAAGCTTTCTGCCCAGCAGCTCATTTCCCTGCAGCACTAACAGTCCCATGCAGAAAAAAAATGTTACTTTTCATGGCTAAGTTGCTCTTGAAACCTTAGTTTGAGCAGAAAACTCATTGGTAATTAACTGTCGTGGGCCTAATTTTCTGTTGTGGGTTTGTTACTGGGAGAATTGGGCTGAGCATTTGTCCTTCTACCTCTGATCACGAGGGAAGGGTCAGCTCTGCTCACTGCCTTGGTCTCCATGGCTTCATACTGCTGCACATCTGTATTTCAGATTAGAAAAGGTAAAATCCTCTGTGAACAACCAAGACATTCCAGTGTTTTTTACTATACTATTAAACAAAGGGAAAAATCAGAAATGAAGGCATCCTTGAAGGTATTTGAGATTAAAAAAAAAAAAAAAAAAAGGATTAATACCTTTATTATAAAGTGGCCCCAAGTGAAATGTTGTGTTTGTTTAATGTGCACTGTGGCAGATGGGCTCGGGCTGCAGGGGAGATGCCAATAGCACAGCAATCTGTAATTAGGGAAGATGTAGACTTGGTTCACAAACTTGCTCCCTGTGCTGTCAGAACATTATCTAACATCTACTTTCTGTGTTTGAGGGGAGTTTTTGCTGTTATGCAAGCACAGGAGGGTTAGCTGTCCTCTGGCTGCAAATTGCTTCTATCCCGGCCTTCCTCCCTCTCTTCATCCTCTTTTTGTTGTTATTTTTCCCCCATTGTTATTTTATCTGAAGTCAAAACACCTCAAGAGTCAGGGTTTGGATGTTTCTTGTTACAATTGTGGCAGAAGGGATTTTTCATTTTGGTAACTTGCTTGTCTAACTGGTCTTGGGATAAGAATACACTGAGTTACTGTCCTTTAAAAATGGCTTTTTCCCATCAAAAAGCTAAAACTGAAACCACCCCATGGTTCAGCCTCAAAAGCAAACAACACAAACTTCTTGCCTTCATTTATTTCCTTTCTTCCTTGATAACCCTTTCTTGAGAGCCTAACAATTCTTGAGGATGGTGAACATCCCATTCAGGTGAAAGGAAAGGGGAACGTGCAATGCCAAGGTGCTGGAATTTCAGGGCAGTGACTGTTCTGGACACATGTGTCAGTCCCAGCTTTTCTAGTTGGTTCTGACATCTTTGTGTGAGTTTTAGTGCAACTGTGCTAAACTGCTGAGCAGCGTGACTGGTTAACCTGCAGACCTCTTATCACTGTAAATACATTTAGGGTGGTGTTATACCCCTGGTTTTGAGTAACTTTTAATTTAACAACTGATTCATGGCAATGTCTGTGAAGGTTCTTCAATGACTAAGCCCATCAACAGGTTCCAGGTGTGCACGGGGCCACACTCGAGGTTGTTACATATCCACATGCTGCAGAAGCTGTCACCCTGTGTGGAGACAGGAATTGACATTATTGATGTCAGTATCGGGGGAAAAAAACTACAGAAAATAAAGCTGCAGGACTTCTTGCATAATCCTTATTTGACATCTTCGATTCATTTGACTTTAGAGAGCCAAACACTGCATTGGAATAAATCTTTGCACTTCAGATTTCTCCCTTAGAAGAAAAGCTTTGCCAGCTCAGTGCACTAAAGTTCTTTAGAGTACCCTGTAAATTTGTTTTCCAAGCTGCAACAATGTCAGTCAGTGCTCTAGAAACATCCATTCACACTCTTAAAATTCAAGTCTTTGTAGCTGCATTTCTGCTCCAGACATTAATTGCAGTGTGTGTCTGCATTTGTTTCTTAGTTTCAAAGTGAAGATGCTGCTGGAGAGAAAATTGGAGACTTTCTTTCCCATCCAGGAACGACTTTGTTTCCCTTGCATTAATTGGGAAAATACAAATGCGTGACCTTGTTTTGCTTATACAAACACTCTACTTGGCATGTAAACATTAAGGAGGGAGGTGAGGGATGCTGAGGAAATACTCATAAAAATAGAAAAAAAAATGTGCAAGTTGCTGCTGGGAAAAAACATTTATAGTGCAGCTTTTGGGCCCTGATGGAGACTTTGCCTCTTGGTGTGTAACTCTTGGACCCAAGGGGTTTAATTGCTGAGTTTAATTGCCCAGTCCTTACTTTGTCCTGAGTTTGTGACTTTGCCACCCCAAAGCAAAGGGTTTCCAGCTTGGATTTGCCAGGCTATCCTGCCTTCACCCAGGTTTACCTTTAACCACATATCTGCAATGTAAAATGATTTTTTTTTTAATTTTGTCGTATTTACCCTAATGGAAATTGGGCTTTAGGTAGCAGTGCCAAATTGCTACTGAGCCTTCCTAGATTCCCCCACCTCCATTTCTTTGTGTTACTCTCCTGTTCCAAATTATGTTAAACATCTGGCAAAACCCATCTACCTTCTGCTTTTGTAAAAGTCCTGAGGTTTGTTTTTTTTTCATATGTTGCATCAAAGATGTGTCAAATGATAGTTTGAACTTGAGTCTTCACTTACTGGAATATGAAACTCAAGTTGATGGCCTTGGTTTTAGCAGAAGATACAGATTTGGCTAAATTGTTGCATTTGTAGGATTGGTAAATATATTTCTTTTTTCATCTTGGTGGATATGTTTTGTTGGTTTTTATCCAATGGTTTGTGATTAACAGTTGTAGCTGGAAAACAAGAGGTTAGATCTATAAAGAGACCTGATAGATCAGAGAATTTCTGCTTTAATTCTTGGCTAATGTAGAGGTTGGGACTTCTTACTGATGTGGATGTGCACAATCAGTTTGTTTCTTGAAGAAATGTGGGCAGTAATTTTGGAAATGTGGTAAGAGATGGAAAATCTGGAACACTTGAGTTCATGCTTAGAGGGAATACTCCAAACTTTCTGCCCAGTCTTGCAACCCAGTTATTTCAGGTCTAAGAATACTTTGTCACTAGAAATGGGAGTGGTTTCTCTTGCAAAGACACGAAACTCTTTCACTTTTGATCTATGCATGATGGAGGAAGGAGGATCTTATAAAATCACTGAGAGCAGCAGATGGAATTGATAAAATTGTTTGACTTTGACCAAGTTCTCTGAGTGACCATGATTGTCACATTTTTGATTGTAGTAGAAGGACAAATCAAACTCGGCTGTCCCTTATGTGGGGGGTTCCACGTCTGGTGGAATGACTTCTGGAAAGAGGAGAGTCTGAATATTGTGCAAAAATGCTGTTCCAGGTTCACAAAGCTTCAGTTCTCTTGGAGGCCATTTAACAAATGTCAGATTTGGTAAATGGTGAGATTTGCTCCAGAGCAAACCTGATATTGTGAAGCTGCCCTGTGGAAAGTTAAGGTTGATGGGTAGTTAAATAAAGGTTATTTGCATTAGAGCTTTTTTTAGTGAGATTAGCACTCTGCAATATCCTGAAAATGCCTGCTGGGCACCCCAAATCTGCAGTTCTGCCATCAGTCAATGCCCCCAGCATGTGTGATGCTCTGAGACCACAGTTCTGTTGCAGAAGCTTGTTGGAAATGAGTCAGGTGATAGTTTAGTGGTTTTTCATTTTTTCCTCATTAAGGCTTTTCATGGCTCTCTGATGGCTTTGCTTATTTCGGCAGAATTTATTGAAGGGTTATTTATGTTCACTGAGAGAAGTTCCTTTGATTTTTTGACTACCCTGTGAGCTGTCTTTTATAAGGGCCTGTTATTTTGAGGGGTAGGTTGTATTCAGCCCCAGCTTGGTGTTTTTAAAAGCATTTGAATGCAGTTGGCATCTGATGAAGGTGCTCAGGAGCTCTGAGCAACCTGGTCTAGAGGAAGGATCCATCCCATGGGATGAGGATGGATCTTTAAGGTCCTTTCCAACCCCAACCATTCCATGATTTTGTGACATCCAGCTGGATCTAGATTTTAGTGTTGTTTAGATAACACCAGACATAATTCTTCAGTTGTCTTTATTGAAATAGTTGTGTGTCAGTAAGGTGAGTCTATTTTAAAAACTGAGTTTATTTTAATAGAACAGAAGATTTATTTTTGCCTCACATTACAGTGAGCACTCCTCAAGTCATAACACAAATCTAAATCACTATGAGGAGCATTTGAAACTAGGACTTCTTGGTACAGGGGAGGAACTTAGAATTAAGACACTCCAGTGGAGCTGTTGGACACTTTTTTAACTGCAGGGATGTTTTGGGGCTCAGGTGCCTGGGGTGGAGGGCACAGACTGACCCTGCTCAGTGTTCAGGGTGTTCTGAGCATCCCCAGTGTCCCGAGTGCTCCACAGTGACAGATTGGCATTAGGAGGAGCCGGTGTTTTTGGGGGAATGGGCAGAATGATTTGGTTTGCAGGGTTGTGAGAGCAATTAGAAATGAGCTCTGGAGGCAGAGCCTCACAGTCAGGGCTCCTCTGTGGCCTGGGGCAGGGTCAGTTGTTTGGGTGGCCCAAATGTGACACGGTGACAACATTTGGAGCCTCCTGGCTCAAGGAAGGGACCCTCTGCTGTGTAGGGCTTGAGCCTGATGTGGGTCCTGGTTTTGTGTGCCATAAAGTTTTAGAATTTGCTTTAATTGCAGGATTGTTCTTTTATTCTTACTCTGATTTTATAAGCTTAGTATTTTCTTCATTTTGTCCTTTAATTTATCCCAGGTAGCCCTCAACCTGCTGATGGCACTTGGTAGCTCAGCAGGTTGGAGCTAAACCCGGTGGTTTATGTCAGGCTCTGCCCTCTGGAAATGCTGTTTTTCCCAACCCCATTCTCAAGTCTAAATTAAGATGGAATTTGGAATTCCTGCTTGGTAGGAAATAACAGCAGTTTCAGCAGTTCTTTAATCATATCCCATGTGTGTTTTTAATTCCAGAGGCCGCAGCAGTGGCAAAGGACCACCCCAGCCTACGGTAAGTTTGAGATTTCTCCTCTTTGTGCCACTGCAGAGCAGAGGGAAACAACTTAAAAGAATGGCAGATACTGGAATATTCTCTCCATTTTTTCCTTGGGATACCATGGTGGGTGGATGCTTTAGAGTGAGATACAATTTTTTAGAGTAGCATCTCACATTCATTTAAGTCTCCTGGGAGGGTGAAGGGGGAAGGTTCACTTAAACTTTTGACTGCACTAATATAAATATTCTGCGTTTTCTTGCAATTACAGCTGTAAATTTAAATAACATTTAACTTAATGCAGTGCTTTTTGAATTAGTTCCTATCTGAAAATTTTTAACATTGGCTTCTCTCTTAAACAGATGACAGTAAGGCAGCATTTAATGAAATAAAAATAACTACTTTGTTTAGCTTTACTCTAAAATTGCTGAACCATTATTCACAGTAGCTCCAATGTGCAGCTTTAGTTGTTCCCAAGGCTGTGTGTTACTGGAGTATGGATGTGGCTTGATTTGCAGAACATGATTTTATCAGAGCTAAATACATGGATCTCAATTGAAGAAGTGAATCTTTGAACTTCACTAATCAAATATTTGCCAATTTGTTGCTGGCCTGGTTTTCAAAGATGCCCAATTTTGGGGAATGGAGCAGGAGCAGGAAGATTTCAAAGGGCTGCAGTTTGCTTACATAAATGTTTATTGAATATACCAAGACACTTGAGGAAAACTAAAGAAGCTTTGAGGAAAACTGGTGGAAAAGGTCACAGGCAAACACTAACCATCCCCAAATGCTGGTTTGTGTGTGCTGAGTGCTGAGCACAGGAGTGTCCCTAAACTTGTCTGTTCAGCCCAGCAAAGTGACTGACAGTTAAAAACACGTTGTCATTTGAAAAACTCAGAATATGGTGAGATCCCAAGAGCTGTTTTAGCATCTCTTGTTTTACAAACACAAAGAGATACCAGGTATTTCAATAAAACACCTGCACTGAGGTGAATGTGTCCTCCAGCAGCCTGGGGACACCTGCCCAGCTCTCCCAGTCAGGATTGCAGGTCCTGGTGCTGCACTGAGTTACTTTGGACTAAATTAATGACAGGCTTTGTGGCAATTTAGCACTCCACAATTTGATGGCTTTAGCTCCTGTTAATGTGTGTAATCAGGGCTGGGAGATGAAAGGATGAGGCTGAGCAGGCCTGAAAACACCTTTTTGCTTCTGCAGCACTGCAAGTGCCTCATTCTCTTGATGGCTCTTAAACCAGCAGGGCTTTTTTTTTTGTTTAAAAACAAAGCCCTGCTGACATCCCTCAAATCTGTGCATATCAGCTGCACCCAGCCAGCCAGAGAATTTCCTTAATGGAGTGACATTAGGGGCTCTCCTGGGTTTTTTAGCTTGTTTGAGAGGGTGTTAGATCTTTAACTGGTCAGGGGCCCTCTGAAAATCTCCCCTGGCATGTTTAATATTAATATTTAATAATAAGCATTCCATATATCTTGCCTGAGTGAAATTTTTACCCAGTATTTCTGAGATTTTCTGTGTACTGGTGAAAGCCTGGGTTGGGTTGGGTGCTCTGGCTTTTGGAATTTCTTCAATATTCATGATGACTTTCTTATTTTTCAGATTTCTTTTGATGGCATCTATGCAAACATGAGAATGGTTCACATACTCACATCAGTTGTTGTAAGTCTTTATATTTGTAAAAATGGTTCCTGTAGTGACAGGGAATTGTTAATTAACCCACTAATTGTAATATAAAGGGGTGAACATTAAACACTTTTTGCCAAAGTTGAACTTTAAAGGGTCACAGAAATGTTAGGCTTGGAAAGGTTTCACTCTAATTTGCAGAGGTACAGCAGATTTCTTAGGTGTATTTTGGATTTCCTGTCTTTAGAGAGGTTCTGGATAAATAAAATGAGTACCCGTGCAGGGATTAGAAACCTTTCTCCCAAGATTTTAAGGGAAGCCCTGACATGGCAAAATGAAGGCAGATTGTCCCACATCTGCTTGAGGCCAGGAGAAGCTTTTATCCTTATTTGTACCCACACAGGCACAGATTTGGGGTTTACACAAAACCTTCTTTGTGTGTTTTAACTGGTCAAGAGTCTTGTGAGAACCAAATATTCTGCAGTGAATATCTTAAATCCCTTCAGAGCTGCCCATACACACCCAGCTATTTGAATTTGCAGAGCACAGCAGTGTATTTATAAATGGGCAGATGCTGAATGAGGAGATTTGGCTAAAAATTGAGCTGTATTTTGACACTTTGGACCTATGTAAAGAGCACATGTTTAAGAAAATCACTGTAATGTCATTTGTCATGTTGGTAGAAAGTCATATTTTCATTTTTCTTGCTTTCTAGGGATCCAAATGTGAAGTACAAGTGAAAAATGGTGGTATATATGAAGGAGTTTTTAAAACCTACAGTCCTAAGGTAATTTTTTACATTTTGATTCTTCCCTCTTGAGAAAATTCTTAATACCAAATATCCAACGTTTGATTAAAATTTGAACATTTACCGTGAATTATTTTTTACTGTTCACGCTTAGATTTACACGAGCAGATTGTAAATACCCAGTTTTTTGCAAATAAATGAAATTCTGGAGGGGATGACTGTGCAGTAAAGCAGTGCCTTGTGTTTGTATCTCCCACAGTGTGATTTAGTGGTTGATGCTGCTCATCGGAAAACTGCAGAATCCAGTTTGGGGCCAAAACGAGAGGATATCCTGGAGAGTATCTTGTTCAAATCTTCAGACTTTGTTATGGTGCATTTTAAGGATATGGATACCAATTATGCCAGAAGAGGTATGTTTGTTTTAATTTTTTTTTTTTTTTTTAATGTTTTAAGATTATAATTCGAATTTTTTTCGAAGTAGATGCTTTAGGATCCACGTGTTGAAGTTCATATTTGGATTTGTAATTCTTAAAGAGTGCAAAATTTCAGCACCTCGTGAAATCAGAAATTTATAAATTAAAAAAAAAATAATCATTTTGAGTAGCTGATTTGGTGTCTGGAAAGCAAAGCCTTAGTGGTTTTACAGAGTGTTTTATAGATTCTATGGGAGGTAAACACATTTTTTTGTAAATTCTCTAAATTTCTCAGTTAAGTGTTATACAGGCATCATTGAATACAGAAACTCTTTGGAAAAAGATTATTTCTCAGAGTGAAGATATATAGAGTCTATACTGAAATAACTTCTGTGTCTAAACATGCCTTCATAGAAATATTCTATAAATACAGAATAGAATAGAAGAGAATAAAGTAGAAATACAGAATATTTACTCCTGCAAACAAAGCTAAAAATTCTTTTAAAATCCTCTATTCGTGTTTTAAATTTTTGCCTTTACTTCTTGTAGACCTGTAGGTAAAGCTCTTTAAAATACAGAGAGGTGACAGACAAGTCTTGAAATCTTGAAGACATTGAAACTGTTCAAATTAAACAATTTTGCAGTCACTCTTCATACTTTTAATGTTTGACCTCCGAGCCCCTGATTATTTTTCTGGAATCTAAGAGCTCGTGAGTCACTTCTATTCCTTTGCAGATTTCTCTGGTTTTGGGCAGCAAATCTCCAGAGTCTTTGTGCTTAATGTTGCTGATTTGCTGGGATAAGGAATAAAAGGAAATGCACAGGTTTTTGTGGCATGGGGTGAAATTGTCTCTGTGTACATTTACAGGTTGATTAATAACTGTCACAGGAGCTCGGTGCTTATTGGAACACAGGTTTTATTCCCATTAGCAGGGACTTAGAGATTTGTAGGGACTTGAGGACATTTAATGAGAATTTCTCTCTTCACCTTGTGTTTGTACATGTGGATGTTCTTGCCTGATTTAAAGCTGCAGAATGAGAGGTTTGTTGTTTCAAGGAATTTTTGCTTTTCCCAGATGATGATGCATAATGTCAGAGCAAATGCAGCATTGAAATGCAGATAAGCTCCAGGTTCTGGATGGGACTTGGAATTTAAATTACATGAGAGCTGTTTTATAATGAGTTTGGTATGAACATCACTTTAATGTAAATGCAAACTGGGCTCTGCCTCACCCAATCTTGATAGATTTTGAGCAGACTGAATGGGGAATATACTACAGCTTCTAGGAATAATTGCTCCATGCACATTTTCTGGAAGAAAATTACTGTTTCAGGTTGAACAGTCCCTCAGTTCACTTTATTAGGTGGACTGACTGAGTCTAAATCTCTTAAATACTGGAGAGCTGAAATAAAGCCATGGAGACTTTGAAACAAGATAAACTGGAAGGCTGCAGAACTTGATAACTCAGAGTGGGTGAATTAATCTGCTTTCCATTTTGTCTCAAAAATACATTATCTGGAAATGACACTTTAAAGTGTAACTCAGTCTCTGATCACACCTTCAAATTAGAGCAATGAGGGGTTTTCTGCTTCCTGGGAAATTAAATAAACAAGGATTCAAAAGGCTGGAGGTTTATGAATGTGCATGAAGGAACTGCTGGCCTTTTGTTCTTGTAAATAAACCCAAATCTTTGTGGTACTGGATGATTTAGAGTGAAAACTGACTCTGAACTCCTGCCTGAAGACTTGGTATTCCTTGTTTTGGGAATTGTCCCTGCTTGGTCCTCTGGTTACACTTACCTAGGAACAGAGACTTTGGAATTTCTAACCCTCAATAGATTTTGGTTTTCACAGATAAGTGAGGAGAATTTGGAAATGCTTGGTTGGGAAGGTTTAAAATTGTAGTAAAATAAAAGGGCATTTAAGGAGCTCTCCATTGGGAAGCTTCCCTGGAGCAGGGATGTTGGGGTCTGATGATCCTTGTGGGTCCCTCCAACTCAGGATATTCTGTAATTCTCTCTGTGTAGTTTCTTACCCTGTAAGAGAATTCTAGATTTTTGTGGGCCCCTTGAACTAAAAAAAATTTCTGCAGAAGATACTGTTTTGGGAATTTTAATGCATCCTGATCTCCCAATTCAGTATAAGTATCTATGGGTTTTATTTTGGCATTTGTTCCCTGCTGGGCTGGAGGAACGTGGGCAAATGGGCTCCTGGCTGTGGGTCTGGATCTTCTGCTCCACCCTCTGTTTTGAGTAGCAGAGATGTTCTCTGGATTATGAAAAAGAGACTGGAAGAGGAATGGGAAAGAGCAGCAGGTGGGGAGAAAGGGAATGGGATGGAGTCTCCTATGAGAAGATAGAAAACAGAGTTGTGTGTGAAAAGCCTCTGCCAGAGCCTGCCAGCAGCTCCCAGTGCTATCAGAGCCCTGCAGCTTTGGGGCAGGGAGCTGATAACCCCCCCAGAGAGCCCAGGGGAGGGAACACCAGTGCAGGCCTGCAGGGTGGAACTGGGAGCAGCACACGTGGCTTTGTGCCAAGCGTGACACTGCACCTTCAGAGAGAGCCTGGGGGTCTGCCCAGATTGTGGAAATTGGGAAGGCTGGGAGAAAAAATGGTAGGTCTGTGCAGAGAGGGGTGTCGTGACTGTAAATGTTCAAAAAATCAATTTGTCCCTGCTTCCTGCAGCTCTGTCAGTCTGCACAGACCTTGCAGCTCCTGGAGGTGCTTGTTTGGCTTCCAGAGGAATGGGAGGGACTCACCTGAGGGTCTGTCTCTGCAGAATTGAGGTTTGCTGCAGTACAGGCAGGCTGATGAATGAAACATGCACTGGAAAACTCAGGTGAAGCTGTGTTATACCCATCATCCCTTTTTCAGACTGTTCTGTCTGCTTTTAAAGAGAGACTGACACTGATTTCTGTATGTGCAGTGGAAATCAGCTGCTAAAAATCCACTCTCAGTGCAGGCTGAAATCCTTGGCTGTACATTAATATTATCACATCTTTCTGCTCAATCTCTGAATGCTGAGATCTTGCTGCTGCTGGGTGATTTGGGCTCCTGATTGATGCAGGAGGTTGTGTTTCTCCTGATTCTACACAAGAATTGTTTCCTGGAGCCCTGAACACTGATCAATCCACAGTGCTGGTTTGCATGGGATTCAAATTTCAATAAGGCTTTGGAGTTGCCTTCTTGGCTTCTCTTTAAAGACAAGACAATTCAAACATCATAACTTACTGGTAAAGTAAAAGACTTCTGCAATGTTTTTATTGTTATTTGGCACACTTAGGAAAATACTACAAATCCAATGAAAAGAAAGGCAGAAGAGAATTGGCAATTTCAGATTTTCCTTGAATTAGCTCTGAAAGTGGCATCCTTCCAGAGAAAGTGTTGCAAGGGGAATAGCAGAAGGCATCTTATGAACAAAGGAAGGAAATGTTGGCTCTGCAGAGCCGGTGGTAACTGGTTTTAATGTTTCAAATCAGTAGTAAGTAGTTACAAAACAAATCAGAGTTTACTGTTGAAACCTTTAAGGTGAAATCTCAGCTTACTTTGACTTGATCAAAGCTTCAGTGAGTGGCATCAGCACCTTTGGCACGTAACACTGATTGGTTTAATGGCATTTCTGCTGCAGACTGGCACTTAATTGCACATTTGTGCTCTTCACCAAAATCTGTTTGTGAAAACAAGCATGTTAGACATTGAAATTAATTAAACCCGGACTCTTAATTGCTCTGTTCTGGCACTTTTTTCTTTAACTCACTTAGTAGCACACACTTGAAGAATTTGCCCCAGCTGAGTTTTTTGCAGTATGTGTATTTTTAATTTGTCTTCATATGAATTTCCACTGCATAGAGTTCTCCTTGGGATTTTTTTTCATTCATGAAAAATGATTTCATCATTTTTTACCGTGTTTTAAAACAAGGTCTTTGATACCCAAGTCCTCTGTTAGGAAATGTCACATTAAGCAGGTACAAAGGCAGTGGGGGCTAATTGAGTGTTACAGCCTCAGCCCCTTGTTTCACCACGTTCCATTTGATCTTTAACTTTGGTTTTGCCGTGTAGAAAAGGGATTGATTAAAAATTTGGCCTTGTCAAGGTGTCATGTGAATTGCTTGTTCAACAGCTCAGAGATAAGAGGCACCAGATAAGGGGGAAGCTGAGCCTGTGCAGTGTCTTGTCACTTATTGCTCTGCCAGCCAGCACTTTTAGCAGCAGCTCATTTACTTTATTAATAATCTTAAGATCCGCATTTTTATTTTGGAAACTGTTATTTTTAGAGGTTTTTTTTTTTACATTCTTTCTCAATTTTGTTGCTGATTAATTTTGGTAAAGGCTTTGCTGGGTTTTTAATTCTGGTCTCCTCTGTGCCTGCCCTGCTGTTTGTTCCAGGAAAATACTGATCTGTGCCTTGAGGTCCCATCCTGCTGCATTTAAACTTTGCCTGGATGCTCTTGAGACCACATTGTCTGACTGGGACAGTGCCTTTGTAGCTTGAATTTCTCCTGTCTTTGGATTTTCTTTGAGTTGTAGAGGTTAAAGGGGGCACAGTCTCACTTGTGACTTTCATTATAAAATGGGAGAGGAATGCAGAGCAGTGGAGCTTCCTGTGCCCTGTGATATACTGGATTTACTGGGAAACTTAGCAGTGACTGCACACATCCTACTCAGACCTGTAGCTCTTGCTGATAGTGGAGTTTTTGTTTTGGCTTGGGTGTTTTTTCCGTCTGTATCATTACAATAACAGCACTTCTGAATGTTTATGTGGCTGTTTAAATAAGAAAATTAGTGGGTTGAGTAGATGAGTCTTGTTAAGCTGGTATTTTATTCACAGGATCCAAAATGGCACAGTTGTGTGGAGTTTGCCTGGAGGAATTTAATAGAAATGAAGGAAACACCCTTCTGAAACACAGATTGCCTTCATCAGGTGCTGCCATCAGGCTCCTAATTCATATTTATCTCATCTCACTGGAGAGGAGCTCCCTCCACTCCCAGAGATGCAGAAACAAATTTCAGTTTCCTAAAAGACATAAGCAGCCTCCAACTTGGATTTGGTGTAAAATGTCTCAATCTGAGCAGAAATAAAACATGGAATTAATGATATTTGGGGCAGATGCAGCTCTGGTTTATCTGAGTTAAACCACGGGCTATTGATAAAGTAAATTAAGAGTTTCCATTCTTAAAAATTCTTTAAAATTCTTAAAATTGTGCTCTTTAGCTACTACTTAACTATGATTTGTAGCACTGTGTTCCTGTGTGGTTTCAGATGCCATTTGAACACATATATATAATATATATTAAAGTATATTTTAAAAACTGTCTGTGTGAGCATTTCATGTGCTAGGGCTGGCTGTTATTAGAGAGATCAAGCACAGTGAATTTTTATCCAATATATGTGCAGAATTTCACAGTGAGATTGGGTAAAACAGGAATAATAAGCAATGTCAGCAGTCTCTCTTTAAAACATCTTCAGTGATTGTGTAAAAGCTGTTGCATCAGTGGCCAACTTCATATGTTGGGAATTCTTTTCATAATAGCTTTAAAGTTAATTTTATTTTTTTTTTTAGGCAGATTTTTAGATCTTGCCAGAAGTTAATTTAGGCCACGTTTTTCCTTATCTGGCACTGCCTGGTGGTTTGATTTCATCTTTTCTAAAGGTCTGAAATGTTTGCTTCTTATTTCATCAGTAGAATGATGATAGGAAATTCTGGATTGAAGACTTATTTATTTTAGGCTGATTTATTTATTTATGAGGTTATAACAAGCTTATTTGATTTTTTTTTAGAGTTCTGTATGTAGTTCTGAGATCCAATTGCTTACAAATACAAAAGCTTGGCTTCCTTGGTGAATGGCTTTAGATATATTTTTACAGCACTTGTAATACTCTGATATTTTCCCTTCTTAAGTCTGGCTTGAATGAAACATGAACAAGTCAAAATAAATGTTTGTGATCTTTATTTTTTGATTTTTTTTTTTTAATTTTTATGAACAACAGAAGAACCTTACTGGTTATTTATTCTCTCATGTTGTTGAGAACAAAAAGTAGAGAGCTTTCCTGAATTTTTCTGTGATTTGGATAAGCTGCTGCTTAGAAAAACTCTGGCAGGAGAGGAGACCCCTCTGTTCGTGTCACAGGAAATGGGAGCACCGAGCTGGTGGATAATTGCTCTGTTGGTGTGTTGAGGAGTTATGGAAAAAGAAGAAATTTGGATATTTGAAAGAAAAATTGTATTTTGCTCATTTAGGGAGTTGCTTTCCTGCTCTTTTGATATTTGCACACTATTGTGGTGTGCAGTTGTGTGGGCTGGTTGGAAAAAAATTTTATACAAGTCTTTGGTTTTCTAGAGGAATAAAGATCCTTGGGTTTTTTTCTCTTTTTCTTCCCCAAATATACATTTAATTGTAGAAAATATTTTGAAATAACTGAAAATAATTCTATTTTCTGATATGGGAGAAGTTAGTCTGTACCTGTATAGTTTTTTTAGGTCTGGAGCAGGGACCTTTCTGATGTCCAGCAGCTCCAAGAGAGGAGGAATGATGATATTGTTCCTGTGATTCAGCTGCATTTGGGCTGTTCCTCAGACAAAAACCAGTGTTCAAACTGGTCTCACTGGTCCCATCCCTCCCCACTGTGTTGCAGATGCTTTTACTGATTCAGCCATCAGTGCTAAAGTTAATGGAGAGCACAAGGAAAAGGATCTGGAGCCATGGGATGGAGGAGAGAACACAGCTTCTGAGGAGCTGGAGGCACTGGAGACAGATGTTGTAAGTGATGCTTTTTATCATCTCTCAGTAGAAAATGAGCTGTTTCCCTGGACATGCCTTGAAATAATTCCTTAATTTCAATCTAAGAATGAACTTTAGAGGAGCAAAATTGCTGTTCTGCATTGTGCTGGTGGATGTTCAGTCTTTGGCAGCAGCTGCCACAGCCCTTTGGAATTATTTGACTGACAATTTCAAATGGCATTTTTGGCAAATTCTGACCAATGGCAGCTGCTGTGGTAAGGGCTGTGTTGGACTCCTGGATCCAAAGAGCAGCTTTTGTTAAGGACTCCAAATCCAGCAGTGCCCCAAAGTGATTTATGTTTAATCAGAGCATTCCTGTCTGACTGTCACTGCACTTGGAAATGATGGGGAGATTGTGCTCAGCTAAGTGTCCCTGGGCTGCAGATGGAGGGAATTGATGGAAGCCTGGCCCAAGCACAGGGACAGTCTCAGATTATGAATCATTAGAGGGAGAATATGGCCTCAAATGCCATGTCCTCATCTATCACAGCAGTCAGCTTTTCCTCAAGCAGAAATTCTTGTAGCCAGGTATTCAGGCTGCAGTGTGTCCAGGGAGATAATATTACTGATTAGAGCATATTAACTTTGGATGGAACAATTCTCCTGTCAGCTTTGGTGTCCATACTGTAGAGCTGAGATTTATTGGAACACCCAATGCTCTCAGTGCTTTTATAAAATATTCAAACCATTTATTGTTGTGCTTGAGTGCTGTGATAGCAATTTTACTGTTGTGCAGATCAACAGGAGGCTTCTGCCTGTGGTGCCTCTCAGGTAATTCCATCAGTGCTTTTGGAAACTTTCAGAAGTGTTAATTTGCACTTTTTGGAAGAGGCAAAAAAAGGTATTAATGTATGTATGTTTTGCTAGCCAGTAGTCTTCTAGTACTAGAGTGAGCATGTACTTAAAATAAACCTCATAAAACAATACAAAACCCCAAAATAAAAGGGGATTTTGAAGGCAGAATCTGTGCAGCTGATGAACAAAGCTCCCTGAAATGAACTGTGGCATTAATAACTTCGTTATCTGAGCAGTGAATTCATAGGCCCAGAAAAAAGGGCAGAAGGTTTAACTTCTGCCATCAGCCCTTAATTTGAAGGGAATGTGTTTCCAGTGTCATTTTGAAAAACAAGCATCATTTTCTTCTAGTCTAATGGATGGGATCCCAATGACATGTTTCGTTACAATGAAGAAAATTATGGTGTAGTGTCAACTTATGACAGCAGTTTATCTTCTTATACGTAAGTTCCAAAATATTTTGTTATTAGATTTGTATTGAATGTTCTCCCTGGTTTGACAAACTTTATATTCTACAGCTCATTTTGCATAGTTTCTGAAGTTGTGGAATCGAATAACTGCAAAAGCAATGAATGAATGGTGCTTAAGAAACCTTGCCAGCTTTCTGTGAATAGTTAGATGTAGAAATCTTTATATATTCCCTTAAATGGGCACAGCTCATTCCCATTGCAGAGTTTTCTGAATTTAGCCAGGCAATAAGGCATGTTTCTTGCAGAAACTTCCAGGAATAGGGTGGAAAGCTGTGAATTAATTTGTGTGTAGCTGCTATACCTATAGTTTTTGTTTAACCTAGCAGAGCAGTTTGGCTAAATCCTGATTTTATTGAGACAATTGATCTGGAAGATACTGGAATGCCGAAAAGCTGCAGCTAACCAGGGTGGGGGTTGTGTGCTGGGGATGGTTTGTTTAGCAGACTTGTCCAGCTCTAAACTGAAGTTTTAGTTAAATATAATAACAACTGGAATATAGAAGTAGTATAAAGGCTGCTCTGGCTACTCTGGCAGTGATTTATTCCCCAGAGTCTGCAGCTCTAATGTTCACTGCAACTGCAACACAAATGGACTGCAGATGTTCACAGCCATTGTGAAATGGCTTCAGTATTTCCCCACTCTTTTAACCCCCGAAGCAGAAACTTACTTTTCTGAATATCAAGGAATCTCAGTGAATATTTTTGATTTTTGATTTTTGTGTGTTGTGTGTGTGTGCACTTGTCTGCAGGTCTCTGGTTCAACAATCTGATTTCTGTGTTTTGTGCAAATGGACCTGTAACATGGTGATAATCAAAGTGTTCTAATCGGCTTATGTTTGAATCCTGGGGAAGCTGTTCTTTCCTTCCCTTCACTGCTCTAAGTACTTTTTGTACTTTTGAACTTTAGTCTTCCATCTTTCTGCTTTCTGGATATTAATGGAAACAGATTAAAAACATGAAGGTGGCTTTAAATTAATTCCATTTTTTTTTTCCCCTCTAGTCAAGCAACTTGCTTTGCATATCAGTCTGCTAAACTGGGAAGCTCTTTTCCTGATTTTCCAACTCTGGGATGAGCAGCAGTGTAGTTAAATGCTTAGATGTGCAGCTGAAGGATTGTAAAGGATTTATTGTTTGATTGTTTTCTTTTCCTAGAGCTAAGCAGTAGCAGGTATAGTTGGTCAAACTCTGCATCAAGGTACAAGTTTATGTTCCAGCAAATGTATTGATCTTCACCAGGGTTCTAAACAATGTCATCCTGTCCATCCCATTTCCCTCATCTTTAATGGCCTGTTAAAAAACATGAAATCATTCCCTGCCTCTTTAGGTTGCCATACATCCCTTCATTTTTGCACTCACTTTAAATAAATGAGGATTATTGGCTCTTCTCCTTTACTGTGTTATTAACAGAGGGACCTGGGACTAGGTTTAAAGTGTAAATTTTACTTGAGCCAAAGCTTTATGCTGAAGGGTTTTATTGAATATTCTTGCAGTTACCATTGATAAGGCCAGTAAATGTTTTGATTGGCCAAAAATGTGGAGAAAAACTTGTGCTGCAGTAGCTGAGTGCAGGCTTGGAATTTGGCAAAGCCACTTGTTTTCCTCGTTCTGCCACCAACACTTGAGCAACTTTGCATATATTATTTTATACTTGGCTTCTATCTCCACCTACTTTCTTTGTTTTTCTCCTTTATATTCTTCAAAATAGGGGCAGTAGTGATTCTATAATGCCCAGCAGAGCACGGGCCAAGCCTCAGCTCTGTTCTGTATTTTTATGTAGCTTATTCTAAAGTAAGGTTGGTGGAACAACTTTCGCAAAACCTGAAGTTAAAATCAAAGGAAAAAATTGTTTTTTAAAACCTGACACAGAAATTAGGACAGCTAAACCCCAAAAATGGGTGTCAGAAGGAGGTGCCAGGTGTGGTCCCATCCCTGGTTGGGTTTTTTCAGTGTTTCAGTGCTCATGTATTGAATTTTGACTCGGTGACTTTCCTAAGGGATGATTTTTGCAATATTCCATTGCCTGCCATAGAGAGAGAGACGTGGAATGGATGGGATTGAGGTCCTGGCACTCACAGATGAGTCAGGAATTTCTGGTCCTGTGCTCTAAAGTGTTGCATCCATCTTTTCTGCAGTTCTTCATAACTAGGAGAGCTGAAGCTCTGTGGCTGGAATTATCAAAGGATTAAGGATGTCAACTTTTTAATTTCAGTAGGATTGTGTCTGCTGGCAATGTATAAATAGCTAAAAACATTTCAGATTTGGGCTCTTGGAGTAGTTTTCTATGTAAACAGCAGTCTGAGGTTTTTTTATTCCTCATGTTCTCAACCATGTTAAGAGTTGGAGCCTTTGCACAGCTTTTAGGGACTGGGGATTTTATAAATCCTGTGGAAAACTTCTGCACCCTGACCTCAGCTCTCAAGGCAGGTAAATGACCCTGAATTTGTCCATAATATCAAACCAGTCCAGAAATTCTGTATTTTTAAAAAAAGACAGCAAGTCTACTGGCTTAGAAGCAAGAATTTTTTTCACTGTGACTCGGTTAGAACTAACACTGTGTGATTTTTGTAGCTCCTTTGTGCTTTTGAATGCATTTCAGAGATTCTTTTCCTTTCCATTGTCTTTTTAGGGTGCCATTAGAAAGAGATAATTCAGAAGAGTTTTTAAAACGGGAAGCCAGAGCAACTCAATTAGCAGAGGAAATTGAATCAAGTGCCCAATACAAAGCTCGGGTTGCCTTGGAAAATGATGAAAGGACAGAAGAAGAAAAATATACTGCTGTTCAGAGAAATGCTAATGAAAGAGAAGGACATGGTGTGAACACTAGGTACTTGAGTGCACTGTGAATAGTATTTTTATTTAAATTATGGAGGTATTTTGGTACTGTAGCAGTTTGCTCATTGATACTGGGCTTTTTCAGCAGGCCTGATTAGGTTTGGAACCTTGTGTAAACAACCCTGTGCTGGTTTTGGCACTCAGGCTGACTTGGACACCTCTGCTTGGCCCTGTATTATCTGTGTAGAGAAACAAACTTCCCCATTCTGACCTGTCACCGTGGTGAATTCATCCCAAATTACAGGAAGGGGCAGTGGTTTTGCTGTTCTGGAGAATTTGAGGCATTACTGCTAAATCCTTCAGTGCCTGTGGGCTCATAAAGTGGACTGTGTGGCCACTATCAAAAGCCAATTCATGAGGTGACTGTTGGGTCAACATCTGATACTATTTAGACTTTTCCCCTTGGCTTGATGGGAGAAAAGGAGAGAAAATGGGGTGCTTCTTGTTGCCTCTCAGTTGTGTCTCAACACTGATAGAAATTTGCTGTGTTTCAGAGAAAATAAATACATTCCACCTGGACAGAGGAACAGAGATGTCCTGTCCTGGGGAAGTGGAAGACAAAATTCACCGAGGATGGGCCAGTCTGGATCAGGCCCACCAATCTCAAGGTCTGGATCCCACACTTCAGAATTCAGCCCTAACTCTGGAGCAGATCAGAGAGTAGTTAACGGAGGCAAGTATCTGAAATCTGAGTGAATGACCTCATAACACTGCAGATAATGACCTCATTTTGTGTTGAAATGCTGTGGGATTAGGCTGTGTATTCCATAAACCACGTTAGCATTCATCATTTGACACAGAGGTTGTGAGTTGGATTTGGGTTTAATTTGCAAAGGAGCAGTCATTGCACTGTGCTGTCTGTGGCTTTGCAGAGCAAAAATGTCGTTTATTTTCCTCCTCGAACACCTTTGTCTTAGATGATGGTGCACTGTGTGGATTTAAAGATGAAAAACTGCATCAGCACTGCAAAGCTCTGTGTGGAGGAGCAGCAGTGCTGACACCTGGTGAAAGGCAGTGGCAAGAGGAAGCTTTCCTTCCTTTCTGCAAAAGAATAAAAGCCACTTGCTGGCTTCATGAAAATGGGAGGAGGGAAACAAGAACAGAATTAGGGGAAAAGGAATTCAAAGCCTTCCCTCCAAATGGGTATTTGAGTATTTTGCTGCTGGACACGTGGGTAGTATTTCTAACCAGGCACTGCATGGCAGGAATTGGTGTGCCAGAAGCCAAACACCATTTCTGGATTTCAGCAGTGGCCTGTCCTCAAGGCATTATTTGTAGAATTTAAAAATGCTATCATAATAAATTGCTGTGAATAAATGAAAAATGTATAATACTCAAGTGATCTATCTGGAGAGGAAGTCTGAGAAGCATCTAAAGGTAAGTGAGACTTCCTTTCTAAAGCCAGAGTCAGCTGCATAAAGGATGGACAACTGAGCCTTGCCCAAACAATGCTAACCTTGCAATTTGTCTGTAGTATTTGTGGTTTCTCTCACCCTATTACTCTGCTGAATCAACATCATAGACCTAAAATACTCAGAATGGCTTGTAAATTCAATTAATTCTGCTTTGGAAACCATGAGCCCTATATCCTAGATTAAAATCCTCCATTAATACCTCAGATAAGCGATAAAGGCATAAATGTCAGGATTCAGACACTGAACACCGCTGGTTTTTGTAAAGATCCAGCTCCTAGATGGATATTTACTCATCATTTGGTTTGAAAGTAGCAGTTTGTGTGGTCAGTACTGTTTGTGAACCTCTGGTAGCTGTTAAGGACCTTGTGGAGTGCTGGGTGCTGTGGAGCATTGGTATGCCAGGCTAACAGATCAAACTTTACTGTCTATTCCTTAGTAGTGTTTGTAGATCCTAATTAACCCTTTGGGGAGCCTGTGACATTCACAACTTCAATTTGACCCAAAAACCAAGGCAAACCCAACCCTGCAGAGACTTTTAATCTCCTCAATTACCACCTCGATCCATCCCCAAAGGGTTAAACCGTGGAAAAAAAAAAAAAAAAAAAAAAAAAAAAAAAAAAAAAAAAGGCCCCAAAAGCTACCTGTTTTGTTCAGCTCCTGAAAATGAGCTTTTTTTTTTTTCTTTAGTTTTTATACTTTCCTTCATATCATTTGTTCTGTCAGGTGTTCCCTGGCCATCGCCTTGCCCATCTCCTTCCTCTCGCCCACCTTCTCGCTACCAGTCAGGTCCCAACTCTCTTCCACCTCGGGCAGCCACCCCTACACGGCCGCCCTCCAGGCCCCCCTCGCGGCCCTCCAGGCCCCCGTCTCACCCCTCTGCTCATGGTTCTCCAGCTCCTGTCTCTACTATGCCTAAACGCATGTCTTCAGAAGGTACAATAAATATACCACGATTTGTTCATGTTTTTTTTTTTTGGTTTTTTTTTTTGGTTTTTTTTATTTATTTTTGTTACGTCTTTTAACTCCTCCGTGAGTTTTTTTAATTATTGACGACGAGTTGGTTTTGTGGTTTGTTTTTTTTTTCTTTTCCGTCGTTGTCGTTGTCGTGTTATTGGTTTTTTTTTTGGTTTTTTTGTTTTTTTTCCTCTTCATTACTTAACCTGTAATTTGTGTTTAACTTTAGTTTATCAGACTATTTCTATTAACCTTTATTTTTGTTTTGTTGGTTTGGTTGGTGGTTGGTTTGTTTTTTTTTTTTTTTTTTTGTTTGTTTGATTTGAAGAGCTTTACAAAAACGAAAGAAAGCTGTGAAATTTCCCAAGTTTGGTATGAAATTAAACTCAGCTTTATAAACGCTGCTCAGTGTCTTAAATTAACCAACAGCAACATGCAGGACCTGGTAACTTTAGAGAGCATTTTTAGGACTATAAATTTATATAAAATACCAATTTTAACACAGTTGTTCCACAAAAAGCATAACTAAATCATTGAATCACTTCTTTGTAAAGCAACCAGTGACAATAATGTTAATAAAAATGCTGTCTGTATTCAGAGAATAGTAGTATAGAACTGTGGGATGGGGTAGGATGAGCTGCTTCAAAGGTGAATTTGTAGGAAATTTTTATTCAGAACAATAAATCAGTCAATAATACACAGAGAAGGGCTGACCTGTGAGTCTTTGGTAGCTCTATGCAGAATTATCCCGACGAAATTTGTCCTGGGAGGGTGCAATAAGGAACGTGGTTTATAATTTTTATTTCAAGTGCAAATTAAACCCTGCACAACACGGTGTAGCAAGGCTAGAAAATGCAGTGTGGTTCTGGTGAGCTCCCTGGAAATTTGCAGTGGGTGCTGTAGCTGCCTCCACTGGAGCCATGGGAGAGAGAGGAATGATCCCCCAGACTGAGCAGGAACACTGGGAAATGCTCCTAACCAAAAAGTGGGTGGTAGCCACATCTGTCTGGCCTGCTGTCCATTTCTTGTGGTTTTGTTTTTTTTTTTCTGGAGTAAGGAACTGAGAATCCACCTGCAAATTGAATTATTTCTTAGCACTTGTGGTTGGTTTGTCAGGCATGCAGTGCTGCTTACTGCCATGTTTAATTCCTACTGCTGCAAGATTATTCCTGGGAAATGTGTATTCTTAAAAATATCTGTATGAAATTTGCATTGAGGTGGACTGGAGATTCTTGGTTAAAATAGAGGCTGACCTTTAAAGATTTATGTAAGCAGGAGAGGTACTTGGTATTTTAGAAGTTTTTCTGAAACCTAAAAGCCATTATCTGATCTCGACCCTCTTACTGACCCACGTTAAAAATGAACTGTAATCAGCCAGATTCTGTTCACTCACAGTTTTTCCTTTTGAAGTATCAATATTTGAGTCTAATCCTGTAAAGAAAATGTTTATTGGGATGTAAGAACTGTATTGCTGCTTAGATTTGAGCATAACTGTGGTACAGTTTCTGTACAGGCTGTGCAGAATTCCTGTATTCACTTATGACTTTGGCTTCTGGTGTTAAACATGCATGACTTGAACCTTGGGATAACAATCCCTTGTTTAGTTGCAATTTTTGCTGACTTGTAAATGAATTGTGACCTGCTGCAGGCAATTCAGCCTCGCTGCAGAGAATGCTCTGCTGAAATTCCCCAAGAGCATTGGTCAGCCAGTGGTGACTATAAATGGTTGGGATCACTGACCACCTGACAAAAGCACTGGGAATTTTTTATTTTCTGGAAAAATGTTTGATAGCCTGGAACTGTGCTTATCCAGGGGCAGCTGCACCACTGACCTTTATGGCTTGGCAGTGGTGGATGCTTGGATTGAAATATTTTCAATCCAAGCCTTGCACACCTGTTTCAGTGCTGATAAAACCTCTGAATACCCTGGAGCTGCCCTGGGGAGGTGATGAGTGTTGGCAGCCTGGCTGGACCAATGGCTTGGGTTTTTTTTAGGATATCACTACCAATTGCTTGATTTTATTACTGCTTTATTGAGAATTTTAAGATTAAATGCAGTTTGAAGAAGAGATATTCGAGTTTTTTGTGATGAACATTAAGCACTTATTGTGTGGGGTTGTCTTTTTTTCCTCAGGGCCTCCACGGATGTCTCCAAAGGCTCAACGGCACCCTCGAGGTCACAGAGTCTCTACTGGTAGGGGTACAATTTCAAGTGGCTTAGAATTTGTATCTCATAATGCACCTGGGGAAGCATCTACTGCTGCAGTGGCACGAGGCAGCCCTTCAGGTGGGACGTGGTCATCAGTTGTCAGTGGGGGTAGGTAAAGCTTGGCTTATTGCAGATGGCTTGCAGGGGGATCCTTAGAGTGGGAATGCTCAGCAGAATCCTGCCTTTCCAGGCAATTCAGGCTCTGAATAATCAAATCCTGGGCTAAGGTTGGTGTTGGGAGAAGGAAGGTTCCCAGATAGCTGAGTGAGAGTTGGTGCAATATTGTCCTAACTGCAGAGTCAGGCGTTGTGTGAAGAGAAAGGAAGGAAAAGTGTGGGAATTAGATGTTGAAAGGATTCATTTTTAGGGGATTTATTGCAGGAGTTGTTCCAGATTTGCCACTGCATCCCTGAGTTTGGTTATGGCAGCGTGGCTGGGTTGTGGTTTACAAATGAAGGAGGTGTTCGGGTAGAGGAAGGTTGGTGTTAAAAGAAGAATTGATACTCAAGTTCAGTTGGATGTATTTCTCCTTTAAAATTTGGATTTTAAGTGGTGATGTTGTTCTTGGCTACTGTAGGAGCAGTTATAGTGAGTGTCTTTTTATTTTTTAACCAGTTATTATGGGGTTTTTTTTAATATTTGACTTAAAGCTCAGTCTTGTGCCACAGGTCTAGTCTGGAGCTCAGAGTTGAGGCCATGTTCTGGTGGGCTATCAGGAGCTGGGTGTTTCCTTGAGGGCAAGAGAGCAGCAGTTTGGTCCTTTTTAGGCACTTTTTGGGTATTTTTTAGCAGGGCAGAATTCTAGAGGAGCGTAGTGGGAGCACATTTCTCAGGAAGAAGGTATAAATTAGACCCACATAGAATTGTTGCCTTGTGAAAAAAACATCAACTCTTCTGTTGTGGCATTATTTGTGATTCATCTTCCCTGTTTATACATTATTAACATGCAAGTAGGACTGTTAAATCACTTACCTGCCTTTGTGCTCACTCACTGGGAGTTAATATGTGACAAAAAGCACAAGTGGGATGAGCAGGAAACAGGAGCTACAACTTAATGTTCAAAGAAATACACAACTTTCCTTGCTTCTTTAACACAGGGGCAAAAACATACCTAAAAGCACTCTTTTTTCAATAGGCTGTGTTGTTTTTTTTCCAGCTGGCAAACCTCCAAAAGAGGACGCTGTAAAATGGATGTGTTTTTTCAGCCCTCTTAAAAAAATGTTTTACATCTCTTTGTGTGGAGACCTGACCACCTTTTGTGTTCTGCCTGAAACTGGGTTGATGTGAGCTGTTGTAGTTGTACTACTGGGGACTTGGGGAAGCATTTTTGCAGATTCTTGGTGGGATTAAAGGGCAGTGATAAATTTTGGGGGACAATCTACAGAGAAATCACCCCATTATCTGAAACGCTGCTTTGTAAAGAACTAGGAGAGATGTGCCTGAAAGGTAAACAGGTTTTCAGTTACCATATAATGTCTCACAAAGTGTTTCAAAGCATGTTTTTAGCCATTTTAAAACTAAAACAAACTGCTGAGCAGATGGAGAAGCTCATCCTATAACTGCTTTTTCCTGTTTGTTTCTAGTTCCGAGATTATCCCCTAAAACACACAGGCCTAGGTCTCCAAGGCAGAGCAGCACTCCCATGGGACCAGCTCTGCCTTCTCCTCAGCCTGGTACAATTCCCACTGAATCTGTTGCCATGCCTGTTCCAGCTGCCTCTCCTACACCTGCCAGCCCTGCATCCAACAGAGCAGTCACCCCTTCCAATGAAGGTAAGTGGCCCTCATTAGTTTGCAAATATTCCCTATCCCAAATTCCTGACAAGGAATTTGCCTAGGCAAGAGCAGAGCTGCTTGCTGAATGATGGGAATACTTAGGATGCATGAAATTTTAGTGTGAGTTCCCATTTCTCCAGCTTTAAAATTAAGGTTAGAGAGAGGTTTTTTGAGAAGCCTTGATGCTTAGTTTATTGTGCCCTTAAGGAATATGGGTTTATAGGTGTCTGGCTTAATTGAGGATTTCTTTTTCCAAGCTGAGTTTTTGCCTCTTTTCTATATTAAAGAAATGCAGGGCACTGGTTTCAAAGAACACAGCAGAAGGGATGGGGAAAAAAACACATTCAGGAGCACAGTCAAATGCCTAAGAACTCTCAAATCTTTGTAGCATCCTGTATGAAGAGCTTGGACTGCTGAAAATAATTAGCTCTAAGTTTATAGTTTGTTCAGTCTAATTAAGGTTTTGTGCATGATGAGAGGAATGAGTTTAATTGGGTTTTTTTCATTTGACAGTAGGATGGAGAGGGAGGGAGGGTGGTCCTCCAGGCACCAACTAGGTAGCAGGAAATGTGTAACTTAAAAGGTTTTTCAAGCTAAAAATGGTTAAATCTCTCCCCTGTTTCCCTCTTGCCTTCCCTCTCTGGTCACTGGAGTTGTGTATAACTTTGGCAATTTCTTTTCCAGCTAAAGATACCAGGCTTCAAGACCAGAGGCAAAATTCTGCAGCTGGAAACAAGGAGAATATAAAGCCAAGTGAGACTTCTCCTAGTTTTTCTAAACCTGAAAACAAAGGTTTGTATCCAAAGCTTTCATGTACTCGAGTGCTGTAGGAATTGTGCACACTAAACCTGCTGTCCTGCCTGCTTTAATTGGCATTTTAAGGAAGCCTTGGAGGCAGTCTGGTGTTCTACAGTGATATTTGGTCATGTAGTTGTGAAGTGGCACTTTGAAATGTTGTTTGTGACTCATTCCATCAACACCAAGTGCAGAGATGCTCATGTGGATGGTGTGATTTCACTTGTTTTTTTTTTCTTTCCCCTCCCTTCTTTCTTTCCCCTGCTCACAGAGCTGCTTTTTAGCTGCCTTTGGACTGAAAGTGATTCTGCTTAGAGCTGTGCTCACAATACTTCTGAGCATCGTGGTCAGCAGAGCTTTTCCAACTGTGCTTTTTCCCTATTATGCCTTAGATTTGTTTGTCTCTGTAGCACTGCTTGTTCATTCAGTTCTCAGAAAACAAAATCTTTCCATGTTGTTAAACTGGGAACCAGATTCATTCATTCTCTTATTGGAGAGACTTTTAGGATGAGTCCAACCATAAAGCTCACCTTGCTCAGTGTTTCTCCTTCACTTGCTGTGTTTTGAAATGCTGGCACAGGCTGGCTTGGGGCTTTTGTTGCATTTTCTTTGTGTTCAGTGAGTTCTGCAGTCCCTGCACCTCGGGGCTTCTGCCTTGGTGTGGTGCATCAGAACTAAAGATAAATCAGTTATGTAATGCTCTGCTTTCACAGAGCCTTTCTGTGTGCTCATACACGTAGGTCATGGAATTGCACCAAATTAAAACCCAAAATAAAGAGCTGGATTCCATTTTTATATCTGCAAAACCATTCTCTTTCTGCAAATTTAGTAATGTGTATAAAACTTGTATTAGAAATGCTTGGACAATGTTGATCTTGTATTTGGCAGGTGTCTCTCCAATTGTTTCAGAGCATAGAAAACAGATTGATGATTTAAAGAAATTTAAGAATGACTTTAGGGTAAGTTTCTCTCTGTTAATGGTGTCATCATTCTCATGTGCATCCAGATTATTTTAATGAATTGAACACACTGCATATATTAGCAAGTCTTTATATTTTTGCTTAATTTATGAAAATATGTGTAAGAATTCATGTTAGGTATTGTAAAATCAATGCTGACTCTTGTTTGTATAATTGCCTAATGCACATAAATGTGAATATTGACTGTAGGCTGAAAACAGGACTTGAAACCTGTTTGATCATTAGGCACAAATAATCATCTCACACTCCATATGGAGGAGCTGTTGCAAAATTAAATGAAGAGCTTTGCAGAGGAAAATTGAAGATGAATTCATATTACTTATTTCCTGGTTATAAGGGTTTATTAAATCAAGTTAGCTTTTCAAGTGGTGCTGTTAAATCACTCAGGGGATGAGTCCAGAGGGTTGTCTAAAGCTTTCCTGTCACTCCCTAATCAACATACAGGTCACTTGAGTGCCTGAATTGCTCCTTACACAGTGCCAGCTTAAAACACTGTCAGTGCCCATGGATTTCTTTCCTAGTAGAAATGGAAATGTGTGTTTTAAAAGGTCATTTCCAGATGATTGAGGCTTGTGGGACTGTTTTACTCTGTGTGTGTGACAGCATTAGATGGTCTCTCCTGAGTTTTGAATCAATTTACTGAATATATCCCTTGGGTTTTTCCAGTTACAGTCCAGTTCCTCTTCAGATGCAGTGGATCAGCTGCTAAACAAAACCCGAGAAGGTGAAAAATCAAGAGATGTAGTTAAAGAAAAGACAGAATCCACCCCTAAAGAATCTATCATAGAAGCTGGCAGTAACACCAACTCCAATGGTGGCAGTAGCAAACCCAACAGTCCCAGTATTTCTCCTTCCATGAGTAACAGCTCTGAGCAAAAGCGAGGCCCTGAGGTGACCTCCCAAGGTGTGCAGACATCTGGGCCTGGAAGTAAACAAGACAAAGAGGATAAAGAGGAGAAGAAGGATACTTCTGAGTGAGTAATGGTGCCTTTTGGAATAAGCACATCTTTATTAACATCAGGCCTCGTGTAGAAGTCATGACTGGGTGACACACTCCTGGCTCTAAGTGCTGTTACACAGGAGGAACAACAGGGGAAGGGACTGCCCTGAAAGTCATCTCCTGACTCAGTGCAGAGCTCTGGTCCTGTGGGTGCCTAGTTCACATCTAAAAGCTTATTTCAGTGTTTTCCTGGCTCACATGAGTTGTGGTATCAACTGGAAAACTTTTTTTGTGCAGTTGTAGTAAGAGTCCCTCAATGAGAGTGGCTTTTTGCTTGCCATGAGGTGTTTGACTTCTCAGAAATCTGACTCACAGATGGAAATAAGGTGTTTCTTAAATTATTAACTGCAGATACTCCTGTAAAAGAATAACGCCCAACTGAATTTTTTGTTCTTTATGTTTAGGCAAGTTAGAAAATCAACACTTAATCCTAATGCTAAAGAATTCAACCCCCGATCTTTTGCTCAAGTAAGTGATTTGATGCTGTTTAACAATGCCTTTGAGTAGATCTTTATAAGCCAACTTTTTTCCTTGGAGGATCCTCAAACTAACCCTGCCATATCCATTGCTCACCTTTGTTTGTAGCCGAAACCTTCTACTACACCAACCTCCCCTCGTCCTCAAGCTCAGCCCAGCCCCTCCATGGTGGGGCATCAGCAGCCAACCCCCGTGTACACTCAGCCTGTTTGTTTTGCACCAAATATGATGTACCCGGTTCCAGTGAGTCCAGGCGTGCAGGTAAAGTGTTGCAAACTCCTCAACCCTTCACAGAGATCCTCAGGAAGCTGAGTAGATTTAGGAATCACAGAATGGGTTGGGTTGGGAAGGAACTTAAAGATCAGCTTGTTGCAGCTTGGGAGCTCTGAGTTAAAACAGTGAAATAGTTCAGCTTGTATTGCTCTTGTAAATATAAATCACCTTGTTGTTAAGTTTTGGCTGTGTAAATACTGACTTTTCCCAGTGCTCCCTCAATCTGGATGTTAAAACAATCCCAAACACTTGTAAATGCCAGCAGCCCACATTTATTGCAGATCTGTGCAGGTTTCCTCCCAGTCCTCCCAAGTATAGTCCCACTCTCTGCAGCTGTTTCTTTGTTTCCAGCTGTGTCCCATTGGTTTCTGGTTCTTGTAGGGATCACTGGGATTTCAAATCTAGCTCCATTATCATAGAATCACGGAATATCCCGAGTTGGAAGGGACCCACGAGGATCTTCAGCCCAGTTTTTGCACAGACACCTCAACAATCCCAGCCTGTCCCTGTGAGAGCATTGTCCAAACCCTCCTGGAGCTCTGGCAGCTTTGGGGCTATGCCCATTCCCTGGGGAGCCTGGGCAGTGTCCCAGCACCCTCTGGGAGAAGAACCTCTCCCTGATACCCAGCCTAACCCAGTCCTGACTCAGTTTTATACCAAAAAGCTGCTGTGAGGCTGTCAGGTTGAGCCCAGTGCCTGCAGTAGCAGCAGTAGCATTCCTGGGCTGGTTGCTGCCAACCATCTGGTCTTAGTTGTGTGTCCATGCAGACTTAATGACACTGATCCAAGAAAATCTCATAGGTTAGGCAGAGTTCACTAAACCGTGTAACAGAACAGAGGGAAACACATCAAAGCTGAGTGGGGCCCCCCACCCCAGCACACAGTGAGTTTTTAAAGGAGTATCATACCTTCAACTTCTTCTGTTTCAGCCTTTGTATCCTATTCCCATGACGCCCATGCCAGTGAACCAAGCCAAGACATATAGAGCAGGTAAAGGTGAGAATAATACTGCCTGTTTGGTTCTCAGTCTGCATGCAGCATGGCTAAATGACAAATGTTTGTGTGTTTTCTAATCCATGGTAATTTGGTTTCAGTCGATATTTTAAATGCTATTTTTAATAAAGGGAAGTAAGTGGAAATATTAATAGATCTTTAGATAAACTAATTCAGCCAAAACATGCCAGGTTTGAGTAATGGGGGGGTTGCTTGGTTTGGAATCCAATTTGACAAACAGGAAAATGTCTCTGTTACTTGGAGCACTAGGGTGAGCTGGTCATCTCCTGTATTTCATAAATATTACAGGTTTGTTTAAAGGGAACTTCTCTGCTGGTTTTCTGTACTGGTTTGCAGCAGTGCCCCAATGGTGCTTTAATAGAAGGTTTTTCAACAACATGCAGAGTCACTATTTCTTCAGGAAAAGATTGCTCTGCTGCTCTTCTGGAAAGAGCTGGTTCCAGTTTGTTCTTGTTCGTTCCTGCTGCCCCAGTGACTGAACAGCTGGACTGACAGTGACAATGCCATGTGTTTAAGTGACACCTGTGGCTGTGGAGTCACCGTGGGTGGGGAGATGTTCCCTGTGCTGGGCAGGGCAGTGAGGGAGTGCAGAAAGTGCAGCTCTTGCTGTGCTCCTGTTCCAGGGAATGCTGTAGCTGTGCCCAGTGAATGCATCTGCAGTGACAGCCAGTGCTGCAGGACAGCACCAGCACTGCAGCTCCAGTCACTGCAGGAGGAAATTGTTTCCTGCTGTTTAGAAACAAACAAGTGGCCTTTATCAACCTAGGGAAGACAAAACCCTGCAATGTTTTTCTGTGTTAAAACACAGTAACTTCACTGTGGCCTCACCCCTGAAATCTTCTGGTTGGTAACACTTTTAATCAGAAATACATTGCTGAGTGCTCACTTGCTGAGTGAGGCAGCTCCAATTCTGAATTTAAGTTCCAGTATTTTCTGCATATCCACTTGTGTGCAGCACAGCCCTGAGAGAGCTGCCTGGGTTACAGCTCCGTGCCTTTATACTGTTCAGGTTGTCTTCTGTATTTACTTCTTTCTGTTGTTGATCTGCAGTGTAAATAAAATAATTAAGTGAACTTACTGATGTTTTCAACATTTCCCTCTCCTCTCCCTAAGGGAATTGGGGCATTGCCCCTGCAGTGGAGTTTTTAGGTGCTTGAGGTAGCTCAGTTAATAGTTGCAGCCTGACTGCAGAAAGCTGGAACCTTCCTGGAGCTCTCCTGGAGCTGCCATGCCCGTGCTTTGTAGGCTGAATCAGTTTGTTCCAAGCGAATTGGGTTCCCAGGAGAGCTCAGGTGATCCCACACTGCTCTGCTCTGTTCATCTTTCTTCCTTCTTAATTATTCCTACTCCTTATAGGTTCTATCTCCCTCAGTGTTGTCTGTGACCTAAAATTTGCTTTCTGCTGCCCTGAGGGGTAGCAGAGAACTCAAAAGATGTGAATACCTCGAGTTGTGTCTGCATGGAGCCCTTTATTGTGCTCTCCTCAGCCATAAGCATGAGTCATTTTTACATAAAGACTCAGATTTCCAGCTGATGGAACAGTGGCTGTGTCGTTCCCATAGAGGGTGAAAAAGCCTTTTAAAGGGGGCAGGATTAATTGGTTAATGTAGGTATCCTGATATAACCTTTCTCTTCCACTTCTGATTCTTGTCAGTCTTTATTTCTCTCCACCTTTCTTCCTTCACAAAAAGGCAGGGCTGAGTTTGTGGCTGTGGATATTCAGCCCAAGGGCAGTGATAAAAATCATGTGAAGAAGAGAAACTCTTCTTCACTCTGTTCCTTTTTGACAGAGCTCTAACCCATGGTTAAAGGTATGGGGTGAGGATATTCCCCGTGGTCCCAGTAACATTTTTATAATGTAGAACCTTTCAGAAAACTCCAGATTTTTTTCCTCTGTGTTTCTAACATGAGACAATTTTTGTTTTTCAGTACCAAATATGCCCCAGCAGCGGCAAGACCAACACCACCAGAGCACCATGATGCATCCTGCCTCAGCAGCAGGCCCTCCAATTGTAGCTACTCCACCTGCTTACTCTACACAATATGTTGCATATAGCCCCCAACAGTTTCCTAATCAGCCTCTTGTGCAGCATGTGCCACACTACCAATCTCAGGTAAGAGTCCTTTCCATGCTCCTGATCAATGCAAGCACAAATAATGAAGTGGCTCAGAGCTAAATAACCCCCTTGTGTCCAGTCCTAAGTCACCATGAAGAGTTTCTGTGTTCTGGAGCACACGTGGTGATCTTGGAATGTGCTTCAAAGCCTGCAACAAATTTTAAGGTCCTAATGAATTTTAATGTCCTAATGAATTTTAAGGTCAGTTTAGAAGTTGGCATTTATTATTGATATGGTTTTTTAGCTCTTTGAAGAATTTCTTTAGGTCGTGGCCAGCACATCTTCTGGTTAAGTGTTCTAAAAATAACTTACTTGGTGGACTGCTCTTACTTCAAAGGCTGTTAAATCTACATGTGTAATTGGATAAATGTATAAGCTTGGTGCATTATCAGAGTGGCAAAGATTGGATATGCCAATGTTTTTTGTCAGTTTGTAGCCCTTAAATTTTGGAAGCAATTGGGAAAATCACAACAGCGTGAAATGCTCAGCTCGCTCTGCGTTTGAGCAAGGCCGAGCTGCCTCTGCTTCGATCGCGACTGTTTAGATGACAAAAGTTTCTTTGCATTAATTCCCCAATTAACTGTGTGGTTTTTTTCCTCTGTTCTGCCTGCAGCATCCTCATGTTTATAGCCCTGTAATACAGGGCAACGCTAGGATGATGGCCCCACCAGCACACGCACAGCCGGGTTTAGTATCTTCCTCTGCAACACAGTACGGTGCGCATGAACAGACACATGCTATGTATGGTAGGAAACGTTTTGTGTTATATGTAACTTTTTAAGTCCTTACCTTGTGCAGGGGATGTATTTAATCTCAGCCTTCAGGCCATGGGTATCATTCAGTAGATGTGGTTTATATTTCATGAGGTGATGATGATGATGATGATGAGCAGAGCATTGAAAACTGAGCCAGCTGGTTCAAATGAAAACTCAAGTGTGCTGATTTCAGTAGGATACCAGTGACCAAGATGAGATTTCAACCTGGGAGCTGCTAAAGAATATCTGCTGAAAGAAGTTTGTTCAAGTTCTCTTGATGCTCTTGATACATCATCCCTTGTTTGTTCCTTGATTATAATTAGTACTTGTTTTATTGCAAGGTTATGACCTCAGTTTCAAACTTGACTTTAGTTCTGGCAACTAGTGAAATGCTGTCTTTATGATACTACTGGCAATATTAACAGTATGAAACACTGCTGTTTAAGCAAAATAAACCATGTGTTGCTTACCTTTCTCATTTGGTAAGTCAAGAATAAGTAAATGGAACAGCTCATGTATTCCTCTCACTCGGACAATTAGTCTCTAGCATTATCAGATGGGCATTTTTCACTTACAGTGAAGTGCTGAAAATGTGGGTTACCTTGTGACAAAAGTAAAATGTGCAAGAACTTTCTAAAGCATTATAAATGTATGATGAATCAAGGCCCAATTTGGAGGAAAAAGAGTTCACTGCAAAACATGCTATTGAAAGAGGTAGAGTCAAGGTTGTTTAAGGCTTGGAAATTGTCATAAAATGTCAAAACAGCAGATGGTCTCTTGAAAACATGGCATTTCAATACTTGTTATAGCATCTGAGGAAAAGTTTTATTGGGTCACGTATATTATTGACTTAGATTCTAATAAAAGATTTTCTGTACCTTTAGACATCTTTGTATGTTTTCGGGTGCTTAGTTTCACACTACTTAATGGAAGTCCATGACATGTCATGAAAACTTACAGAGAATCTGGAGTTTAGTGGGAAATTAATTCTGATTTTAAGAGGTGTCTTACCCGTCTGAAAACATTCCTGTCAGATCTCTGCAGTGGTGTGGTAACAGAGCTAAGAAACAAAAATAACTTATTTTGACACTTGGAGGAAGAACATTTGAGCTCATTTATGCTGAAGCTGAAATGGAAGTTACTTGTAGAGATTAATCTTTCTCTCTCAGGTCCTTGCTAATTGTATTACTTTGATCTTTTCAACTCCTGTGCTTGAGGTGTCCATGTAAACAGATCTTCTGTTTGCTTTTTGATTAGATTAAATAGAATTCCGATAAAGTGAATGATCAAAGGCTTTCAGGCCTTTATTGGTGAAAACCCTCCTCTCAAATTCTAATTAAAATAAAACCAAACATGAGATAATCTGAGATTTGATTCAGAATGGTTGCATGTGACTTCCTAGCAATTTCCCATTGTGCACCATCCTTATCTTCTGTAATCAGTGGGTTCTGCAGCATTGAAGTACAAGCCCGTTGCCTTGCTTGGCTTTGATCAGATGTCTGTATAGTTTTTTTCACTGATATTCTAACTTACAACTGTTAGATCTCATTTTGTGTTGGTTTTGCAGCTTGTCTGTTGTAGATATGTGACTACCTGCCAGTGCAAACAACTAAGTTGGGTCAAACTTGAGAATTCTTTGGTATTTCCTGCCATGTAATTAAATATTACTTTCCCAAGAGCACCTAATTTAACAGAAATGGCCTGTCCTCCTGTGTTCTTTCAAGTAGCTACTTGGTGACTCTTCTAAATGTTCTCTCACCTGCCAGTAAATGATGGAGTGCTTGAAATTTTTGTTACTGAAACCATTCAACCCAAGAGGATCATGAACTCCATGTGATAGACCTTTTTGAAGGGTGTGTTCTTGCCCCCGTGCAGGCGTGTTTAGAACATGAACGGTCTCAAATGTACCCTTCACCTTCCAAGGTGACAGTGACACATGGAATGACTCCTGATGTTCTGCAGCACCCTCTCAATTCACTTTTTTGCAAGTCTTCCATGTGCTGAGTGCCTGAAGACCTGGCCCAGATGGACTGTGCTTCCTCAAAGTGTGTCCAGCTGTAACGTGTCCACTTCAGCTTCCATTTATCCATGTGTGGGAAAAGGCAGGAATGCCAGAGGTGACCAATCTGAGCTGCTTGTGGAGCTAAAGAACATCATGTTGGAATTGTTCACATCTGACTGAGTGACTATAAGAAAATATCTATAACTTATGCTCTGTCTTTTGGGAATCTTAAGTTTACCCACATTTGAACTGAATATACCTGTGCACTTTGATTCTGGTCCTCTTTTAAAAAATAATTTGAAAGTACAGAATAACAACTTCCTGAGAAACAACCACCGCTGCTGCTTTTGATTTTACTCAAACAATTTCCCTTTTGGCTCTTTAAAATTGCTATCTGATTTTTAAAAAATATATTATTACTTCTTTTTAGCACTGATATCAGGATTCAGTGGGCCACGCTGCCCTTTTACCCTTAGAGGTACTGGTGCTTGCTTTGAGTTATTCCTGCAAAATTCACTCAGTTTTTCTCCTGCATATGTGGTAGAGAGAAGATGTCTGCAAGAGCTACTGTGCTGAGACCTGGGGGTTGGGGGGAAACTGCTTATCAAGTATTCCTAAGGTGTGAAATGTTTTCTGGTAAGATCTGAAACTCCACCTTCACTAATGGTTTGGGACGAGTTGAAAGTCTGTGGCAAATAGTAACAGCCTGGCAGCCAAGAGAAATTCCTGTGGATTTAGGGGAGCCACCCTCTCTGCCAAAAGTTTGGGGTTGTTTTCTTTCCTGTCTTGTGAAGAGATAGCTGAATCCAAAATACATACGGTGACCTACACTTGGTGATAAGCACTCTTCCATTTTTAAAGAAAAGTACTTTTGTCTAATGCTGTTTAATGGGATATTCCTGCACTTCTGGGATTTCCTTGCCAGTTCACAGTGTCACAACCCAGCTGTTGCCAAGAGAGAGAAGCAGAGCTGCGTGGTCCCAGTAACCCCAGCTAAAGACAGAACAGAGGAGTGTTCAGATCACTGGGGTTTTCCCCTCCAAATGGGGAAGGACAATGCCCAAACAACTTTCTTCCCAGCCAGACGGTAACAAAGTCTGTGACACTTCAGCTGCACAGCCGCCTGTGCCCAGGAGAGTTTGAAATGTGACACTTTTTACCTGCCACACGGCCCACCTGGAGGTGTCATCCTTGCCCTGCTCAGCTGCACCTTGGGTTCAGAAGGTTCTGTGTGTGTCTGGCAGCTGCTGGCTCGGGGTGGCCTCCCAGTCCCTGTCCTTGGGCTGCTGGAGTTTGTTGGCCACGCTCCCAGTTTGGCTCCTGTGTCACACAAAGCCCAGACCAGGCTTCTGCTGCTGGTAGAAAATTTGGTTACCGAGTAGAGGGTGGATCTGTCCATTCCTGTGACAATGAACTTGTGTTAGTTTTCCATGTGGATGAATTGTTTCCAGATAATTGGAGTCCTCTGAAAAACTTAACTTTTGTGTTTAAGAACTTGTGTAAAACCAGACCTTGGTTTTATACAGATGCATTTCCTGGTTTTTGTGCTCTCATTGCTGTCTTCATTCTCCCTTCCCCTTTCCCCTTCTGCATATGTTTTACTGGTCTGGTGTTGTCTCTAACTTTATCTGGTTTCTGTCTCAGCAGTAGAGTAAATTCTATTCCCCTGATAGTACAATGGTGGATATAATATAAACTTCAGAGGATTCTCCAGGGACTAAGAGTGAACCAGTCACCAAAGTTGTCTTGGAACTGTTCAGAATGGCAGTGCTATAGCTGAAAAAGCAAGGGCCAGTTTCTGCTCTAGTATAATTGCATTTTAACCTTCTTGTTACAGTGGACAGTAATAGAACATGAATTGACATAAAGTTTCTTTTTGTGTTAATTAAGAACTGCAGACCTCAGTGTCACAGTTAAGAAGGAAGGCTTATTTGAGACTTGTGTTTCATTTCCACTCATTTGTAAAATGAAATATCTAGCTCTAATAGCAGCTAAGTAAATAAAAATATCTGCATGGTTCTAGAGTCTTCAAAAAAATTTAAAAAAAAAATTAAAACTGACACTGACCTTTCCAGAAGATGGGAAGTATGCACGTGGCAAGAGGCTAATTTACCTTTCTATTTCCCAAATTCAGCATGTCCCAAAATACCATACAGCAAGGAGACAGGCCCTTCTTTCTACTTTGCCAGTGAGTTGGGTTTTTTGTACTAATTTTGATTGTACAGAAAAGCACTTTCTAAAGAACCAGATGTTAAAGGAATGGGACGTGTTGAGGGAATAAGTTTCCTTGCACCAAACCAGGATGTGGAAAACGCAGGAAGGTTCCTCTCAGTGGGCAGGGAATGGAGCTTTGGAACAGATTTATGTGATCACAGGAAGCTGAGTTGTCAATTCTTCAAAAGTTTATTTTGAATATGGAATAATCCGACTTCACTACCCAATCTTTTCATCTGCAGCCAGAAGTGGGCTCTAAGAAATCCTTCCCTGGGAGGGTGGGGAGGCCCTGGCACAGGGTGCCCAGGGAAGCTGTGGCTGCTCCACCCCTGGCAGTGTCCAAGGCCAGCTTGGATGGGGCTTGGAGCAGCCTGGGACAGTGGAAGGTGTCCCTGCCCATGGCAGGAGGGAACAAGATGATCTTGAAGGTCCCTTCCCACCCAAACCACTCTGTGATTGTGCAGCCTCTGTTTAAAGCTGTGGGAGCTGCCTTGCACCCTTTCATGAGCCAAACACGATTTTTACACCTGACCAGCTTCCTAAAAGGAGAAGTAGCTTGGGCCTCATCCCTTTAAAAAGCTCAAATTTTGAGCCCCTGGGAGGAAATAACTCAAGTTGCAGCCGAGGTAGAGGAAATTTTCTGTACAGCTGCCATTGAAGGAGTGCTGGGAACAACTTGTGGTCATGATTATATGACAGGGATGAGATGAGGGCTCCTTGGCTGGTGAACTTTTATCAGTTCCATTCCCTGGCTCAGGTGGGGCTGTGCTGGTGACCAGCATCACTGGAGGCACTGGGAAAGGGACTGGACACAACAGCCTGGTCCAGCTCATCCACACTTCCCAGGAAAGGCAGAGAACTGCAAAGTTCTGCCTTGTGTGCTGGGGTTCAGCAGCTGCTTTGAGGAAGCTGAGGTTTGAGGGGGGTGCTTGCAGGATGAACTCTCACCCAGGACATGGGAAAGGAGGAGTTGCAGTCTCAGGGTGTTTCTGTTCTTGCTCCTGTCCTGCCGTGGCACTTGTTGCTGTGTCTGTCTGTAAGTCTGTGCAGCCCATGCCAGGCACTCTCCTGTTTGGTTTTTTTTTTTTTTGTTTGGTTGTTTTTTTGGTTGTGTTTTTTTTTGGTTTTTTTTTTTTTTTTGCATTAGCTCATGCAAGAGGGATGTGAGAAAAACCACTTGTTCTCCAAAAAACTCCTCTGGAGCAGATTTCCTGTGTTTCTTGTGCCACACTGGTTGTGCCTAAGCAGGGGCTGTAGGGTGCTGACCTGTGCTGTGTTCATGCCTCTTGGTTTGGTGCACTGAAATCACTTCAATAACCTCGTTCCTTTCTTGGATTATCTTTGAAGTGAAGTCCACTCTGCCTGTGTAAAATGACTTCTTGAAATGTTTGTATGATGAAAGAAACATTTGCTATTTCTTTGCTTCCTACCATTCAGGTCTTTTAAATGTAGTTATCCTCACCATCTTACTGGCTCTGGTAATAGTTTTGAAGTTTATTCACTGGTCAGTTCTTGAAAAATAGGCTCTTCAATTCATCTTTGGACCATGACCAACACTGACCACCATTGGCACCATTGAAATTCCAGGGAAAAGACAAAATTACAAAATGACACGATGTGGTTTCACGTATTCCCTTGTAGCTGGGAGTTCTGCTTGATTTCTGCTGCTCTGACCTCTTTTGATTTCAGCTCCTTTCTGTGGGTTCTGTGGCTGACTACTTCTTGTTTGCTCTCAGAAATGGGGTGCAGTTCTGTAGAGTTGAATTTAGTAATTCAGTCCCTGTGATTTTTTTTTTTTTTTCCCCTATTCCGTGACTGAGTCGCTTCCCTCCCCACGTGTCCCTGCCAGGTCAGTGCAGTGAAATATCTCACATGAGAAGCAATTTCATTAGAAAGATGCAGAAATGAAGCAGGTCAGCCCAGGCAAAGGAATTTAAGGCATAAAAGGTGAGAAACCCAGTGTATTTGTGCTGGAATGAGCTGAGTGACTTGCAGTAAGGTGTGTCCTTTCCTAGAGCTTTCTTGGTACATTCTCAGATAATAGGTGGCCATTTGGAAAATCTCCAAAATACTGGGGAAAAATGTTGGATAATGGGTCTTTTTTTTTTTTTTTTAAAAAACCTCCTGTCTTGTCTTATTTGCTGTTAATTTGTGTAGTGAGCTGTTTTGATGACCAGGCAAAAATTCCTTTTAAAAAAATCCCAGGGAAAGTGTTTTAGTTCTGGCTGAGCAGGTGAATTTTTCATGACTTTTACAAGACTCCTTTGACAGCCCTGCTGCTCTCAGAGATTTCATTGGCTTGGCAGGAATTACTTGCACTAACTAAACATGAAAAACCACTTTCACTGCTGGAGTTGGAGTCTGAGCTCTGGTTTTGAACTGGGAATGCATTTCAGACCTGCTGAGTTGTTCTTGGTTTGTGTGCAGGGACTGGCCAGGATTTAGAGAAGTGCCCAGATAACATTTTTAAAAGGTACTTTTAATATTACTATTAAAACATAATTTGCAGCAGCATCTGAAGTGGTTTGAAGCTGTACAAATTTGGTCATTAGGGTGGTCTGCAAAAGACAAAATGAAGGGAGAGGAGAAACTAGAGAAATAAATATTCTTCAGTGTGAAAAAGTGCAGTGCTTCAAATCCAAAGCTGTGGATAAAATATGAGGTGGTTTTAGAAGAGCTGCCACTATGACAAAAACCTGATCCTCCCCCTGGTTTATATCTATTCTTTAGGGTGCTATTCCTTGGTTTAACTGGTATCTTAAGAGAGAAATTCCTTATTGTGAAGTTTTATTGTAGAAATATCTGCTTCAGAACAATTGAGTTTATTCTCTCTTGGCCATAAAGAATCTAAAGATGAATTGCACAAATGGTTTAAGGGAGTCCCACATTATTTTGGGAGCTCTTAACAAGTAATGTGGGAATCCTTGAGTATCTTACAACTTAGAATTAAATTTCATATACATTTTAAAGCCTCTTGAATGGAGTTGGAGTTAATTTGTAGTCAGGCTTGCCAGCTCTGTGGCTGAGGCACTGGGAGCATTGCTGGTCTAACGTGCCTTTGGCAAGCAAGTAATCCCTCCTTCCATTTATTTCTATTACTTTGACAAAGGTAATAATTTCTGCCCTTCTTCAGAGTGTATCATCTAATAATGAGGTTGAGAAATTCTCCTCCTGTAGAAAGACATAAACTTGGTAGTGTAAAAACGATCAGTGTGTCCACTGATAATTTTGGTGTCATCAGAGGAGAGATGTCTGAAAGTCAAGTAGGAGCATGGCAGGGATGCTGCTGCAAAATACATTTTAGTAGTGATACCAAAAAAAAAAAAAAAAGAAAAATACTCGGATTTAAAGCATAACAAAATGCTGTGGCAGAAGATCCTGCTGCTTTTGACAGTGTGCTTAGAAAATACTGAGGTGTTTTTGAAACCCCTCTCAATCAGGAAGTCTCAGAGTGTACAATTGTGCTTGCACATGTGGATAAGAACATTAGGATCAACTCCAGGCTGCAGGAATTTAGTTCATCTGCATTAATAGCCTGAAACTGCTCATCACTGCTCGGCCATTTGCTCAGTGAAGATTTAATGGAGCTTGCCAGGGATTAAGTTAAATGTGGCAGGCAGTTATTTTCTAAAGGAGGAACCTTCACATGGGAGAAAAACCTCAATTAGGCAAAAATATCCTGGCTCTCTGTATTCTGGTGAGTTGGAATGTATTAGAACTTGGATTTGTAAGGTTTATAGCAAACCAGACTGGAGGAAAACTGCAGTGGCCACCAAGATAATGCCATCATTTAACACCAACCCCATTAAAAAAAAATATAACCTGATAGATACTCATCAGTAATTAACTTCAGAACAACCAAAAGGCACCAAAACAAATAAAGAACAGTGGAAGGAAATACTGAGCAGCAGGTTGATAGTTTTCTTTGGCTGTTTGCTTTTTTTTAGCACTTTGTCAGCAAAACTCTCCTTGGTCTTTCAGGCTGTGACATCAGAGGGATTAACACGTGTTGTCACACACAGAAGTAGCTGCAGACACAGCCTGGTTTTGTTGCACAACACCTAAAAGAAATTAGGGGAGACATCCTCATTTTTAGGGTCCTGCTTTCCCCTTGCATGCTTTGTGTTGAAAGGAAGACTTGTTGTCACTCTGGCTTTTCATACTTGCTTAGATGCCCTCAAAAGTTCAAAAAGAAAAATAGGATTTAATGTGGCCCATTTGAAACGGGACAGAGCAGGATCCAAGAAGGAACTTGGTGTTTGTTGTTGGAGACTGGCACGGCTGTAGCAACAGATGTGGCTTCACTGGGGTGAAAGTTTTCTGTTGTTCAGTTTCTTCCTTTTTGGGAATTTTGTACCTTATTTGCTGCTGTTTCAAGGAATGAAGAATTCCGTGGCAGTGTTGGGAAGCTCACAGGATGGTGGTGATCCAGAACAGATTGGCCTCGAGGGCAGAGGCAAAATGGGTTATTTTAGCACAAGAAAGTGGCTTCAGCAAAAATCTGATGCTCAAGCAGCCTCAGTTTTTTCAGCTGTGGTGTGTTTATTTACTCTGGAGCACACGGGCAGAGTTTGTGCTTCCCTCTGACTGTTCTGTGAGAAATTTCCAGAAGAGTAGCATGGTGAGGTTAGCCAGGTATAAGGCCAAAGAATTTTTTTTGGATGGTGGAAATAAAAATGGCTCATAACACCTTTGAAAAGTATATCTCAGGAAATCCTAAATTGTATGAAAATTATAAATTTGATATTTAAAACCGGTCTGTTTGACAAAACAAAAGATGAAATACTGCTTTTCTCTATGTAGTATGTGTAACATTATCAAATTAGGGAAGATGAACTGTCTAATTATGGTTGTTTATAGACTTTCCTGCCAAACCAAACTACACAAAAGCAAGGTAAGATCATCAGCTATTTGCAAGATAAATACACTTTTTTTTGGAAGGGGGAGGGAATATATTTAGAGATGAGCCGTAGTGAAATCTTCAGGTGCAGGTGGTGACTTGATAGAGGTGCATGTCCTGTACCTGATGTTAAATATTTCTCTTTTTCATCCTAGTTTCCACTGGCTCACTTGCTCAGCAGTATGCCCACCCTAATGCTACCCTGCACCCGCATCCTCCTCATCCTCAGCCTTCTGCCACCCCAACTGGCCAGCAGCAAAGCCAACATGCTGGAAGCCACCCTGCTCCAAGCCCCGTGCAGGTAACACAGCCCAGAGCCTGAGTGGCTGCAAATTGTGTTTAATTGTGTTGAAGGGATTACAGCTTACTGGTGCTTGATGTTGATATATTGATTTCTCTGAGAGGAAAAAGTTGGAGCAGACTCCCAACTGCTCATTTCTCCCTGTTCACAGGGAATGGGGGGATTTTTTAGTTTAAGGAAGGATCATAATTGTGTCAGTGCTTTCCTATGGGTGAAGTGGAAATCGCAGATAAATGCTGGGAGGCGTTTGATTGGATTTTGTCAAAGCAGCTGAAAACAAAGTGGTCCTTGGAATGGTGCTGCATTCCTTAATTCCCTCCTGGAGCAGCTCTGGCTGTAGCTGTGAGGCACTCCCAGCTCCAGGTTCTCCATGGTTTTCCCTGGCAGTCTGGCTTCTGTTTGCCAGCAGAAGCTGAGCCTGGTGGGCTTGTAAAGAACTTCCCCCACCAGCACGGGCAATCCTTAAAATTCACCATTTACAGATTGGGAATTGAGAGCAGTTTCCCATTCCTTTCTCCTTAACGGGATCAATGCCATTCCTCAGCCCTAACCTAGATGATGTCTGTGTTTTCTTGCAGCACCACCAGCACCAGGCTGCCCAGGCCCTGCACCTGGCCAACCCCCAGCAGCAGTCGGCGATTTACCACGCAGGTTTAGCTCCAACCCCTCCTTCCATGACGCCAGGCTCCAACACGCAGTCTCCACAAAACAATTTTCCTACAGCACAACAAACAGTCTTCACCATTCATCCCTCCCATGTTCAACCTGCATATACCAATCCGCCACACATGGCCCATGTCCCCCAGGTAAACACAGTTTAACAACCTTCAAGACTAAATGTCTTAATGCCACAAAAGTTAGGACAGTCGGGCCTGCTGAAGTGATTGCCAATCTGTCACCTCTCAGCACAGACTTACCTGTTGTTGTTCTTTAGGTTTCTGTCTGTACATTGCCTTTATTTAGAATTTGACACAGTGTGTTTGGACCTCAGCTTCCAACACCTAGTGCATCTGCAACTGTAGTTTAATGAAGACATCTTAAGCTGGCACTGCTACTGAAATAAATTGAGCTCTCTTCCCAGTTCCTGGCTCCCATCCTTGTCCCTGCCCCACCACTGTGCTCACAGAACTGCTTGGCCGTGGAGCAGACCAGGCTGGGGACACGATTCAGCTGAAATTTGCCTCCCCTACCCCCTTTTTAGGCTATTTCTTGGTCAAATCAGTTCCCTGCTCAGTCAGGTGCCTGATCCAGGAAGAGCTGGCATACAGAAAGGTTGGAGGTGGGAGCTGAGTGCAGAAAGGCTGAATTGCTGCTTTTGGTGGCAGTTTCAGGCTCTGCATCATAGACAAATTTTATACAAATCCATCCAGAAAAGGACATGATAGGATTTCCAGGGAGTAGCAGGGCAGTGCAGGGAGAGAGGAGAGAGTTAAGGTGACTGCAGGACAATCCTTGCAGATAGAAGGCTCTGTGTGTGTGGGGTGTGTCTGGGGTGTGTGTGTGGTTCTAAATGAACTGCTTGTGCTGAAGATTCCCAAAGATTGTTGGGCAACCTAAAGCAACAGTCTTTGCTTCAGAATCAGAAAACTCACTTCTCTGAACTGCTCTCTTGTGGTCAGCTCCCTGAGAAGAAGGATTTGGGGAAGGGAAGCACATGATAGATTAATCAAGAGCTCCATGTAAAGCAGTGTGACACAGATTTTCTGATGATTACTAAATCTCCTGGATTTAGTGTCCTTTGTCAAGGAATGGGCAGTTCAATCAGTAATTTGCCTGCACAATTTCTTCTTCAGACCAAGAATTTGGTGTCTGCCTTCTCATACAGGTTAACAATAGTTTGGGATAAAGTGACTAACTGTGATTAGGGATGTTAATCTGACAGGTGTCCAGTCCCTTGCAGAATTTTGATAAAATCTTTGCTTTGGTCCCTGGGACAGTCAGTTAAGCCAATAAATCAATAGTTCTTTAGGAATCGTTTTACTGATGTTGAATTTTTAGCTTTTTGATGCTCTTAGGCTTTTGATTTCTCTGCTTTTTTTGGGGAGAGGATAAGGAGAGGGTGGCCAAAGCTGATGATTGCTGTGGCATCTTGGCACGTCCTCCCCTTCTCTGGTTTCTGCCAGAAACAAGACTCCTGCTCTGCTCTGGTGTGAAGGCACTGCTGTGAATGCCTGGGTTGTGTTTAGGCTTAGTGGCATGTCCAGTGCTCTGATTTGAAACATCAAAAACATTTGCTTGAAGGCCGTGAAAGGGTAAAGCTGTGCCTGAATTGTGCCCTGGCCAGGCCAGGAGTGCAGGATGTGACCATTGCCTTCCTTTCTGTGTGCCAAGCAAACCAAATTCAACAAATCAGATGCAACTTCGAGTCAGAACTGACTGCTCAGGCAGGATTTTTAGCAATCACAGACAAAGCCTGCCTTGCCCTTGATTTTAACTTGTGCAGTCTCTTCTGCAATTTTTTTAGAACTGAAGCTGCAATTTGTGATATTTACACCAAACTAATTGGCTTTCCCAATGAAGTAGTTCCCTCAAAAATCTCTAGTGAAGGAATAACTACAGTTCTGTCAGAAGTTTTAAATGCATGTAATTATTCCATCGTGGGGAAACTAATCACTGGATTTAATAGTTTTTTAGCAGCCTCATTCCCAGCTTCTAAACACAATTCTGAAATACCACGTAGTAAGAATTTCAGTCAGGCCAACACAGGGGATCAGTCCCAATTTCCCATCAGGTTATCAGATGAATCTTTAGCTGGAAGATATCTCACTTGAGAACCAGTACTTTAAAATTCATTACAGAGTGCTGTCAGCTGCCAATTTGCAAAATGTTTGAGCCACAGCAGAAAAATTTTATCCACTGTGTGTATTGACTCCAGCTGCTCTATGAATAGCTGCTTTATAATGATGGCTTCTACAATAGCATGTTTGTCAAAGTCAACGTGGAGCCAGTCCTGGGAGGTATTTCTGTTCCACAGCCTGATCTCCTAAATCTTTTTTAGAGCAAGAGTGAGATTTGAATTGCAGTTCCTGCCTTTAAAGGCTTCTGGGGTGCTACTAACACGTGCAAGTCTGATCAAAGAGTTTGGGAATGTCTGTGATGAGTCAAGTAACCCTTTTTGTCTTTAAGAAATAAAATTCTAGCCACTACCTGCTATCTGTCTTTACTGGCATGGGAGACCTGTGAGGCTGCAATTCTGGGATATGGTAGAAGGACAAAGCAAACCTTAGGTACAAATGATGGGGTTTTGGGGCATTTTTTTTTTTCCCCCAGGAGAAATCCACTGAGAGCTCTGAGTTCCTTTGTGCTTTTAAGAAATAATTGTTTGCTAGCTTTTTAAATAAAATAAACTGATGACCTCTAGAGACATGAACTGCTCTGAGCTAAAGAACCCACCGAGTTCCTGAACTTATTTGCCAGAGGTGATCAGCCATGGGAAGGATTAATCTCCTTTTCCACTGAGACTTAGCCCTGATTGCTCAGATTACACAAGAACTGCGATGAGCTGAACTGGAAGCAGAACAAAGCTGCCCTGAGAGTGTGAAGGGATGAAATCACTCATGTCAGGAGGACTTGGCTGAGCACTGTGTGGGCACAGGTCACTGGAGAGGACAGGGAGGTTCCCAGGGCAGGGAGCCAGGAGAGAACGTGGGGTTGTGCAAGGAGAGAGCTGGGGAAGGGATGCCAGACTCCCAGTGCCTGTGAAGTTCCTATCTGTACCCTCTAGGAAGTGCTTTGATCTAGGTGACTAACAGAAATGTTTTGAAGATTTGTTGCTGAATTGTTTTTTTTTTATTTTTTTAATACCCCCTGTTTAATGCTGGCAAAACGGCTAAAATCGAGAACGCGACTCAGAGCCAGCAGTAAGAACTTGAGCCCTTTTTTTAATTATTATTTTTCCTTTTTGTTGTTACTATTATTTTTTTTTGTGTGTGTTACAACCTCTGCCTTAACTTCTAACCTAGTTAAAAAAAAAAAAAAAAAAAGAAAAAAACAACAAAAAAAACCCTAAACAAATGAAGAGTAAACCCTCCGGATTTGCAGCCGGAGCAAACTTTCGCCAGTCATGTGGCCAGGAGTTGCTGCCTCCTTGTGACCATGATACTAAAGAGCTCTTTGTTTCAGGCTCATGTACAGTCAGGAATGGTTCCTTCTCACCCAACTGCCCATGCTCCAATGATGCTAATGACGACACAGCCTCCCGGTGGTCCCCAAGCCGCCCTCGCTCAAAGTGCACTACAGCCCATTCCAGTCTCGACAACAACACATTTCCCCTATATGACCCACCCTTCAGGTGAGGAGTGTGTGCCCGGGAGACCTGCACCCTAACTGAGCCAGGTCGAGGAGTGAGAACTGGGAGAAACCAGATTTTGGGGAAAAAAAAAAAAAAAAAAAAAAAAAAAAAAAAAAAAAAAAAAAAAAAAAAAAAAAAAAAAAAAGACTCAACCAACCTTAAGATGTCCTTGTGTTTCTCAGCTGTGCTTTGGCAGCCTGGAGGAGCGTAGGTTTAGCTGGTGAGATGTACCTAATGCAGGGAATATTTTGCTTTTTCTCTAGCTGGAGTAGAGAAAAGTAAAGTGTGAGACACTGGCACTGTGGGACTGAGTTTTCCAGGTGTTGCCGTGGATTTGCCGTGGGGGATGGACCGTGTGTCGTTTATAATGATCAGAGCTTTGATTAAATCTGGAGGGCAGGAGTGAAATGTTGTGTGGGGGTAGGGCTGCTGTTAAAGTGACAACTGTAATTAAACTTGAATTCGGAGTAACATTCTGCAGCTTTACTTTGGGGGAAAAGTTGGAGTTGTGTGACTTCTTTCCGCTTTAAATTTAACCTTATTTAGGTTTCTTTGATTATTCAAGTTCAAACAGCATCTGAACTTCTAGAGTGATGTAGTTTTTACCTGATGTTTCCTGGGGAATGTGTGAGCAGAACAAAGCTGCTTTCTGAGGGCTTAGGTAGGACAAAAGTAAAAAAAAAAAAAAAAAAAAAAAACATCCCAAGGACATCTTGATGTGCAGGGTTTTGTTTTGTTCTCTAAAAAAATAAAAGAAAAAGAGAAAAAAAATAAAAATAAAAGAAAGTTGAGCTCAGTAGTTGTCCTGTGACCACTTTACTAGCAAACTGTTGTGTGGCTTGCCAATTTATTATTTACATTTGAACTTTTTTTTTACAGTACAAGCCCACCACCAACAGCAGTTGTAAGGCTCATCTGGAATAACTGAAAGGCTGGATACCTTTTGTAGGCCAAATACCCTCCTTCTACTGCTTCTGCCAACTGGAAGCACAGAAAACTAGAATTTCATTTTATTTTGTTTAAAAAAAAAAAAAAAATTTGATTTCTTGTAACATCCACTAGGAATGCTAACAGTTCATCTTGCAGTGGGAGAGATTCGGACTGAGTAGAGGCATTTAGGAACTTGTGGGCTATTCCATAATTCCATGCACTGTATCTGAGTCCTGCAAGTGCCCCAACTCTGCTTGCTGAAAACTGGAAGTTATTTATTTTTTAATGACCCTTCAAAGTTATGAACTCGTCAGCTAGCAAAAGAAGTAACAAGAGTGATTCTTGCTGCTATTATCACTAAAAATCAAGACTTGGAGATCCCTTTTACTTCTAACTAAACTTGAAACAGGTTCAGTAAAAAAAAAAAAAAATTCTAATCGTCAAACGGATGAGTTATTATTTATAAATCACGTTTGATGAGATAATCACTATCGTGAGACAGTGATGTAACTTTTAAGTTAAGAAAACTTTTACTTTGTAGATAATATAAAATAAAAACTTAAAAAAAAAATTAAAAAATAAAAAAAGTTTTAAAAACTGACCCTCCTCGGTGTTTGTGTGGTGATTTTTGAGTCTCTGGAGCCAGGGTTTGCCCTGAGTCTGTTGTGTGCTGCTGCTGCAGGGGCATTGCAGGAATAAAGGAAAAGTTTGGGAATCACAAATTCAGTGCAGTTTTCTAACGAGGTTTTGTCTCCAGGTGATTTTGTGTTCCTGATCCCTCAGCCTTGGGCTGCTCTGGGTGGGGTCAGGAAAGGTCCTGGATGGGTCTTCGAGGTGGTGAAAGTGTAAAAATCAGTGGTGCTGCTGGAGAAGGAAAGGAAGGGTAAGAATTCCCTGGCAAAATGCCTTAAAAAGATGGGGAGACAAAGCTACCCCTGCTCCATGTGCTGACTGCCCTGTGTGGAACAGGCATCGTCCCATGGGGACAAAACAGGATTTTCATGTCCAAGAGAGCATTTCTGACTTTTATCATCCAGTATCCACTAAAACAATGTCCAGGCACCTGGAGAGAATCAGGCTGAAGAGTACAAGTGAGAAACAAGTTCTAAAAACAGTTTATTAAGAGCAGATTTTTTTTTTTAATATTACGGTAAAATCGCATTATTCAAGAATAAGTTACTTGTACAGTACATACAGAAACAATATATAGAAAAAAATTACTATACAAGAAGAACTTTTCTGTGCAGGTGAAAAGTAGAACTTTCAAATTAATACATTCCAACAAAATTGTTGGCATTAATCGTCCTGCTAAAGGCTGAGTTAGGGAATACACAGACGCCTCCCTGCCTCCAGGAGCTGCTGGGGAATGTTGGGGCTGTTTGGATCAAGGCTAAAAGTTTGGAATTGCTGGATTACACCGGGGTTTGGTGGTCCAGATGAGGAATGAGAAGCTTTGGCCTCTCCCTGGATCTTTTCCTAGAAGTTTTACCCCAAAACAGCTTCAATCCGAAGGGATGGGTGGGGAATGGTGGTGTCGGTACCTGCTGGTGCTGTTGCACGGGGCTGGGATGTGGGAGGGAGGGAAGGAGGGAGACATCAACTAATGCTTCATGCCAGGAGCTCCTTCAGAACCTGACAGCCCTGGGGACACAAAGGCCACCAAGCAGGAGCTGCTGCCAGCAAACAGCGAGGGCAAGAGGAGGGGAAGGGATTCTGGCCGGACCCAAGTCTTGGATTGTGCCCTAAACCAGGTCCCTGCTGTCACAGAGCAAAGGCACTGCCTGGTTTTCATCTTTATTGCTAAAAACTGTCCTGAGGAGCTGGATGAAATGGGGCTCTGCTGGGGGAGGCCATCAGGCAGGACCTCCAGCCCAGCTCCAGGAGCTGCTCCTGTGGCTCCTGGCTTTGTTAGGTGGGATCCAAACTCGTGCTCCCCGTGCCCATCTCCAGGGCCAAGGCACAGAGTGGTGGCCACGCCTGATTTTATTTCTGGGGAGGCTGCACCTCCACAGAGCCACCCAGGGGCTCTCCCCTTGGTTTCCCCTCCTCCCAAAATTCCCATAAATGCCTCTAAAAGCCCACAGGGGCTGGGGAACTAAACCCGCCCAGCCCTGGGCTCTTTGCTCAAGTCACACGAATATAAAAATCCTGCAAAATGCTTCTATTCCATAGGGTGGAATGGCTTAATGCTCTTTGCCCACTGCTAAATGCAGAGGAGGGAGTACCTTAGGGCTGGAGTAACGTGCTGGCAGGAGCAGAGTCAGGCTCTGACCTGTGTCACAAGCCAGATGTTTTCTAGGAGAAATGGGATTTCAAACTCAGTCCCCCCAGGAACTTGGGAAATAGCCCAAAAATCCCCTCAGGTCCTGCTGCAGTGGATCTGAAATGAGGAGCTGGTGGAGCTGGGAGGGCTGGACAGCCCTGGCTGCCTGTGGGTGAGTTTGGGGATGGAATTAACTATTAAATAATCAGAGGGACTCTCCCACTGCTCACTGGTGGGGAGGAACAGGAGTTCTCCCCCACTGGAGTTTGTTTGCATGGGGGAAGTGGCTGACGGGGAGATAATGAACCCAACGTGTATTTTACTAATCAAGCACAGCAATTTCCATTTAAACTGCGGAGAACCCCCTTGTAATTAAACTGCAGGTTAAAAATACCACATGCACACGCATGTTTCAGTTCTGGCACTGGAACAATAAAGTCCTGGCGTGCCAAAACAACCCACCCCAGCAGCATCTGATTTATCTGGCAAGGATTTCTCTGGATTCATCTGGCAAGGGATGTGAATAGCGCTGCCTTTTCCCAGCCCATCCTTTCTTTGCAGATGGAAGGAGACTCGGGTGATTCCACCTCGCCTTTTTGGGGGAAAACCCCTTTGAATGCAGCTCCCTGGAGCTCTGTGGGATAAAAAGCAGGAATCTTAGCAAGATTTAGCACATCCCTGTGTTTTCCAAGGCTTTGGGAAGCAGGCAGCAGGCAAGGAAAGGAAATAACTTGTGCTGTGTCGTCCCCCCTTTCCCTTCCCCATCCCTATAAATGCAAGAGCACGGGGAGTTATTTATGAGCCTCGGAGGAGCTGCCTTGCCTGGCACAAGGCAGCCCCGGGGATGTGCTCCTGCCTCTGGCTGCAGCCTTTGTGCTGCTCCAGGGAGGAGAATGGGATGCGGATACAGCTGAGGAGCCCAGCGAGGACAGGGCTGGCTTTGTTTCTCCATCAGCCTCTCCAAGGCTGCCAGTGCTGCAGGACCAGTGCAATTTTGCTCTTAATGCTCCAGTTTCAGGCACGAGTGTAGAGAAAGCAGGGGGAAAAAAAAAAGCCTTTGCCTGCTCTAAATGCACAAAGCCCAGGAGAGAGCAAGAGCAAGCAATGGGGAGGCACAGAAGGAAAACCTAAATGGTTTCTCCAGTTGATGGTTCCCGTTTGTCCCAGCCTCATACTTCGATTTTTAAACCTAGATTTGCTCTCATGGCTGCTTCCTGGGCTGTTTGGCCCCAGATATTTTGGCCTTGCCTTTCAGCTCCTGACCTTGTCTCCTTGGACCGTGGGCTCACCCAGAACCTGCTTCACACCAAAGCCTGTCCTAGAGGCTCGATTTTTGTGGAATTCCCTAACTCAGCCCAACGAGGCTTTGTTTTCAAATTAATTCCTAAATATTAATGCTCCTGAGGGCTCCCACCGGTATTGCAATTTCAAGGGAAATAGAAATTAAAAACAGCTTTCTTTAAGGCAATCTCAAGGCAAGTTTTACATCCAAAATCCCAGGGAAGGCTGAGCTGGGAAATCTGGAAGTTGAATGCTGTGAACATCCCCTCCTGTGTGGCGCAACGGCTCCAGCCCTTCCTCTTTCCTAAAATAACGGCAGCTTCTCACAAAAGCTTCCTCTCTCATGGCTGCCCCAGGCAGGTGAAGCAGCCCCAGGGGCTCAAGAACAGCAGCAGACTTTGGGGACAGTTGGGGATGCTGAGACCCAGGGATTTGGACAAGTTTTCCCTCCAGGTGAGGAGGTGCCCCCAGGGACCCCCATTACCTGCAAGAGGCTGTGGTGGAGCTTTAAATGCCACCAAGCTCCTGGTGACAGGGTGTTTTTTGGGGGAAAAAAAGGCAAGCAAGAGTATGGGGGAGTTCTTTAGGGGGAATGCTGACTTTAGATTTGTGCCTAAAATCACTGGGATAAAACGGTTCCATCGCCAGGATAGAACAGTTCCATCACCAGGATAAAAACGCCTCCATCACCAGGATGAAAACCCATTCAGCACAGGGATAAAAAGCCTCCATCACAGGGATAGAACTCATCCATCACCAGGATAAACCCCTCCCTCACCAGCAGGAGTGGTTTGTGTCAGTCTCTGTGTTAGTTCTTGGCTGGTGCCATGGCTAAGGATGGAGCAATTAGTGTTCAGTCTCAATCAGCCGGGACAGCAGGATGAGAATCCCTCTGGCTGGCGCAGGGAGTGACCACAGCTGTGCTGGGTTAAAGAGGAAAAGCAAGAAAAAGCCAGTTTTTGCCTTAGCTAAAAACAAAAAAAGCCCAAACCCTGCTCATCACCCTTCGTGGGAGCTCAGCTCGGGTCGGGTTTTGCTGGTGGGTTCAGCAGCCAGGGTGGGAGGACGAGGCCTGGAGCAGCAACTTGACAATGAATTTATAATCCTTTTTTTCTTGTTATCCTGGGGTTTTTTTAACTTTCTCCAATTCCGTGGGTGTGCCACAAGCCCCTGGTTCCTCAGCTGGGCGCTGTCGTGTCAGGGACAGGCGGGACACTGAGCCCCGGCACAGGCACAATCGGCGTTGTGTAAACAGTAATGAGAAAGCTTTGATAAGAACAACAAAAACAACAATAAGAGGCCCTTTAACAGGCCAACGAGAGGGAGCACACCCGTACAGGAGTGAAAAATTACCCCCTTTCCTTGCAAAAAATACAATAATAATCCCTAACCAGAAGGAAGAAACAGGTACATTCTTTCTCTCGATGGATCCCCCAGAAAGTCTCCAGGATTTCTCCACCCGAAAGTGCATCCCAGTGCCGGCGTGGTGCTGGTCAGAGTGGTGTGTACTGGTTGTCGATGGCGCGGACGTGGCCCCGGCCAGGTGCCTCCACCTCATAGTCCGAGTCACGGGGCCGGGGCGTGGTGGCCGTGGTGGCCGTGGTGGCCCTGGCCGGACGCAGGCTCTGTGCCAGCTCAGCTGGTGGTGGCACCAGGTGGAAGATCTGCTCGGCTGGGGGACCCCCGGGGGGTTCATCAGGGCCATGTGGGCAGGAGGAGCCAGTGGGGATGAGGTTGAACTCGGGGCTCCAGCTGGGAAAGGGCAGAGGGAGCGGGACCGTGGTGCTGGAGCCGGGAGCTGCAGGCAGAAGGAGGAGATGCTGGTCAGGGGGATGCTCCTGTCACTCCATCTCTGGGGGTGCTGGGTGCATCCCATGACCCCTCCACAGCCCATGGCTGGGAGCAGCTTCTCCTTTCTCAAAAGAGGAAGTTGGGAACTTGGGAGTCACCTTTTGCACCACTGCTTCCTCTTCCCCACTCCAGGAGCAACCAAAGGGCCCAGCTCTGCCCAGCCCCGGGGCATCCACACCCACCCTCCATCCCACGGGAACATTTCCCTTCCCTTCCCTTCCCTTCCCTTCCCTTCCCTTCCCTTCCCTTCCCTTCCCTTCCCTTCCCTTCCCTTCCCTTCCCGCACACCTTGTGCCTGGGGCAGGACCACCACGTAGCTGGAGAGCCGCACGTCGCAGGCGGTGCCGCATTCCAGCGGGATGGGGTAGCGGTGGAAGTGGTGCAGCATCTCCACGATGGAGGAGAAGCGCAGGTGCTGGACACGGCACTGGCCCCGCTCCGTCAGCGCCAGCCGCAGGTGCTGCGGGGAGGAGCAGGGACCAGTTACCCTCCCTCCACCTCCCTCCTGGAGGACACCGGGGGGGATTTGGGATGGGGGACACGCTGTGCTGCATCCCCAGCCTGTGGCTCCCTCGAGAGAAGGGCGCCAGCCCACTGCCAGCATCAGGACAGAGACCAGGAGAGCATCTCCCTGGGGTGGGATGAGTGGGACAGGGGCTGCCCTACAGCAGGGGGCTCCTGTGAGATTCCCCTCCCCATCCCAGCCCTGTCCCGCCCGTACCTTGGCTCTGCCCTGGAAGTTGAAGGTGAGCACGTACTCCCCGCGCCGCGTCTCGCTCTGCCGCACCAGGAACACGCCGTGGCCCTCCAGCCCCCCCAGCTGCACCAGCTGAGCCGCCTTCACACGGGAGATGGGCCCGTGGAACCAGGGGCAGGAGGAGAGGAACTGCTCCATCTTCGGCCCCGCCGCCTCCCCCGGGCCCCCCGGCGTCGCCCCTGCCAGGCAGAGGGATGAGTGTCCCCGGGAAATGGGACCCCTGCCCATCGCCCCCATTCCCTCCCCTCTCTGTCCCCTTCTCGTGCCATTTGGGGAAGGCCAATAAGCCCAGCCATGGCAGGATGTGGTGACCCCCCAGTGAGGGATACTCTGTCCCCAGGGTCCCCTGGATGTCCCCAGCTCACCTTGGCTGAGAGGGTCGGTGCTGGTGGTGCTGCTGGCAGCTGTAGGGTCGGGGTGTCGGCACGTCAGGAGATCGGGGTCACCCGTGTCAGACCTGCTGGGGATGGGAGAAGCCAGGCTGAGTGCTGGCAGTGGGGACACAGAGCCACTGTCCCCATCCCCAGGCTCAGGGACATCCAGCAGCACTTACCCCCTGTGCACACACTCCCGGATCTCGGCCGTCCAGCAGCTGAGCTGCTGCTCATCCCCTGCCTCAAACAGGATGTCGGTGGCGTTGGTGACCTGGGGGACATCAGAGAGGGACGTGGGGTCTTCAGAGAGAGAGAGAGAGAGAGATGTGCATCCCCCACCCACCCACCCGTGCTTGGGACCCCGGCAGGGACAGCACACCCCCCACCCTGCACTCCACATCCCCCTGTGCATCCTCTCCCCGGATGGGAAGAGGAACTGAAATTTGGCATGGGAGATCTTGGGAGCCACGTGTGGCCCAGAGGGTGGGAAAGGCCTCGGGGGTGGCTGCAGACCCTTTGAGCAGGTCCTACCTTGAGGACGAAGGTGTGGAGGTTATCGGGCATCTCGAGGCGTGTGCACCTCCGCACCTCCTGCACGGCGGAGCAGGCAATGAGCAGCTTCGGCTTGGAGCCCTGCGAGGGAGAACACAGAGCCTGAGCTGAGCCCCAACTCCCCCACACCCCAAAACACTGCCCCACACCCCAAAACACTGCCCCACACCCCACTGCTCTACCAGATCCAGGCACACACTCGAGGCACAGCAACCAGCAAGGAAATACCCAGCTCTGCAGGGAAATACCCCACCAGCAAGGAAATACCCTGTGTGGTGAGGAAATACCCCTTTGTGGCAAGGAAATACACCCTACAGCACTGCCTAGTCACCTCAGGGGGCTGAGTGACATCCAGACCCATCTCAGGGGTCCCAAGGACCCTGCAGTGGAGGTATGGGTGGAGGATAAGAGGGGAGAAGGGGTTCCCAGCATGGCAGCACGTTCCAGAGATGTGGCACTGATGGGGAAATTGGGGTGCAGGGGGGGAACATCCTGCTCGTGGGTGTGAGGGTCAGTGGACAGCCCAGAGCTCCCTGGCGGGTTTGGCACTGACACAGGCACGTGACAAAATGCTGAGCAAACACTTCCACAAAGGCTAAAATATCCCTGTGGCAGCTTTCGGTTCCTCTGCTGTCCCACTGACTGCCGGGAGGCTGCAGCGAGTGGCACAGGATCCAGGGTGCCAGGGGGACAAAAATTTCCTGAGCATGGGTGCTGGGTGATGGAGCCAAAGCTCTGTGCTCAGCCTTACAGCCAGAGCCATCCCATCCGTGCCAGCAAAGCCCAGGCAGTGCCACCATGTGCCAGGCACACTCATCCCCCTGTGCCAGGCTTGCTGCACAGCATTTTGGCTGGCTGTGATTCACACAGTGGCTTTATCATCCCATGGGGTGCTGGTTCTCATGGCCCTCTTTGCTCCACAGCCACTGTCCCTATACAGGGACAGTGGCTCTACACTCTGGACTGTGTCACTTCACCCCACAACAGCATTTGCCAACCAAACTGCCCAAATTCTGCTCCGGGCTTGTGATACTCAGAGCAAACCCACCCTCACCATGTCCCCAACCACCCGTATGACATTCAGAGTGTCCCCACCGGACACTTCCTCGCTCACCCAACCGCACCATCTTTAGCTGTGCTTTATTTGTTGTTTTGTTTTGTTTTTTTTTTCCATGCCCCCTCCTCCCTCCCTCCCTCTCTCGGCCGAGCACTCAGTGTTCTCTGGGGCCGGAAGCGCAGCTCGAGAGGGATCAGCCCTTATCAGCACCGAGCTGCACCGAAAAGAAAGTTCGTAGAAGTCGCTCGTGTACGGCGTCATGCACAGGGCTGGTGACACCGCGGTGGCTCCGGCACCCCCGGGCCCGCTGGTGACAGTGATTGCAGCTGTGCTGTGCTGCGCTGTGCTGCAATCACTGTCACCGAGCTGCTGTGAGGCGCCGCGTTAGCGCCGGGGCTTTCTCCAGAAGGAATTCGATTTTTCTGCCACCTTTGGAATGTAACCGTGCCCCTGTGCAAAATCCTGCCTGGAGAAGGTGAAAGGATTGCTCATCTTGGCCACTTTCCCACGCAGGGGTTGTGACGTCCAGCATGACCCTGAGCCGGTTTTATCAACATCCCAACCACAGCGTTGGGGTCAGCTTCTTAGGAAACGGGGAAATTCCAGGAAAAGGGAGTTCGGAGAAGCCCCCCGTGTCTCTCGGCGTGGAGAGCGCAGCTGGAGCGTGAAGGGAGAAGGAAATGATGCAGCACAGAGATACAGTGCCCGAAAAACCAGGCTGGGTTCGGAGAAGTGCCTACCGCAGGCACCGTGCCCCCGCTGCCGGGGCGCCGCACCTGACCGCAAGATGCCCTGCTCGATGTGGCCAGTACCAGGAAAGGGAGTTCTCAGTAAGCAAAAGTGCACACTCAACACACCAAGGGTTCACCCACGGGCTCCTTCTGGGCTAGAGGTGCCCCAGCAGCACGGCAGCGATGGGTAATGCCTGCTGCTGCCTTGCACAGTGAGCTCAGGATGGGATGGAATATTTAGGATGCTACGGATGTTGCTCCAGCTCAGCCCCAACCCCACCAGCAACAGCTTCCACATGCAGATTCACCCCACTGCTCCCAAACAGATCCTGTGCAAATGGGGGAAAGCCCAGCATGAGGTTGAGCACCCCCCAAAATCCCCTGGGTTGTGACACCCCATGAAGCTGCACTCCTCCCAAGCCCCCAGAAGAAAGCTGCCACTCTGCCATTGCTGTGGCATTCCCAGTCCTGGCACACAAAACTGGGCATCCTGGTCTGTGCCTTGGGTCATTCTCCAGCTCTCAGGGCAGTGAGATCTGGCCCAGTTCCCCCAAACTCCCTCTCCCTGTGGCTGAGCCCTGTGGTCACCTATGAAGATGACAGTTCCATAGGATGGGGACAGAGGAGACACACCAGCTTTCAGCACCTACTGGAATACACCAGTAATTTTGTTTTTTGCAAGGAATTTTTCCACAGTTTAAAAGTACAGAACTTCAGCCATGCCAGGGGACGTGGGGCAGACTGGAAGACAGAGGAAAATTCCCCCAAGAACAGAATAGCCTCCTGCTCCCTGCCCTGAGCATCCCATCAGAGCCCAACCAGTGAGGACACCCCACTGCACCCCCTCTGCGTGTGCCCACATCCCCTGTCCCAGACACCCCCACAGGGTGCCACAGGAAGCACTGGCACAGCACAGGAACAACCAGCACGGCACAGGCAGTGCCACCAGGGCAGGGCAGCCGGGAGCAAGTGAGGTTTGCCAGATTTGGGAAGGAGCCCGATGCCAGCTCAGCGCTGTGGCTGTGCCAGGAGCGTGAGCCAAGGTCAGGCCAAGGTCATGGCTGTGGAGTGGAGCACCTGCATTTCCTCCTGGCAAACCCCGGCAGCAGCTCTGCCGTGGCACTGGCACAGCGAGCTCCTCAGTCCCTGTGCATGTGGCACTGGCTCCTTCAGGGGTGGCATTCCTCCAGCAGCTCTCCCAGCACACCTTCCCTTGCCCACGCTGGGGAAATCACTGCCTCGGCTCAGCAGGTCCTTTACAAACCTCCAACAAGGATATTTGGGATTCATGGCCTTTTTCACAGCAAAGCTCCTCATAGCTTGCCCACCTGTGCCAGGAACGCTCTCCCCACGATGCTGTGAGCTGCTGCCATAAGGAGCACGTCCTGTCTGGATGCTCCAGGGACACTGAGGGTGTTGGGGGGACTTTTTCTACTCAGGTGAGGTGGATAGCAGCTCTCCAAGAATAAGAGGGTTGGTACAGCAATGATGGCAGTGGCATGATGATGACAGCAGTGGCATGATGATGACGATGGCAGTAGTGCAGTGATGAGGGTGGCGGTCTGGCAATGGTGGCACAGCGATGACAACAGCATGGCAATGACATCGGTGTCATGGTGACAGTGGCAGTGGCACAGTGATGATAACAATGGCACGATGATGACGGTGGCATGATGATGATGGCACTGGCACGGTGATGATGATGATGATGATGATGATGATAGTGGCTGGGCCATCAGGCCAAGTTTGCAGAGCAAATCCTTCGAGAGCAGCAGGAGCTGCCCCCGGCCCCTCCACGCTCTGGGGGTTTCCCCATGCCAGCTCTCACTCCCACTTTGAGTCACCCACGGGAGGTGGGGAAGTGCTGAGCCCTTGTGCAAGGTCCCCAACGGATACGAGCGAGATTTGTCACTTCTTGTAAATCACGGAGCTCTGTCCTTACGCAAGGGACAAACCACAGCCAGAGCTGCACTGCCAGGCCTGGCTGTGCTGGATGGACACAAAACCATATCCTGTGCCTGCAGCCCTGGGGGAAGTCGTGAGGTTTTCCAGGAGCATGGACATACAGAGCTCTTTTCCAGGGAATGTCGGGTGAACCTGGTGGGAAACATCCCCTGGTGCCAGGGCAGGGCAGGGGGAGGGAGCAGAGCCCTGCAGGGCTGCGAGGGCTCCAAGGGTGCTGCTGGAGAGTGCAAAGTCTGCTGGAGCAGCCATCATCCTCAGGGGCTTGCACCACAGGTAATCCCAACCTTCACCCTTGGGGATTTTGTGTGGCAGGAAATCACGGTGGTTTCCCTTGGGAGTTTCACCATAGTTAAACCCAAAGTTCATCCTTGAGGACTTTTGCACCATAGATAATCCCAAAACGTGTCCTCAGGATTTGCACCACAGCTAATCCTGGTGTTCATCCTCAGGGATCTGCACCACAACCACTCCAGTTATTCATCCTCAGGGATCTGCACCATGGCTAATTCTGGTATTCATCCTCAGGGATGTGCAGTGTGACTAATCCCTCTGTCCTCCAGCAGCTAATCCCAGTGCTTGGGAGAGTTGACAGCACAGTTAATCCCAGTGCTCTTCCATAGCTCATCCCAAGGGGAGAGGTCCACCCTGGACAGCCCCTGCCAATGCTGGTTTTTGGGACAGGAACTGGAATCCTACTGATTTGGGTCAGCCGTGCCTGCTGCAGGGACCCTTAGCTCAGCTCAGCTCCCCCCTGGCCACAGGGTGACACATTCCCAAAACATTCCTGCCTCTCTGCAGGTGGACACTGCTCATTTGGAAACCTCCTGACAGCAGCAAGCACCATCCTGGGCTGTGCTCTGGGCTTGGGGAACTGAAACCTGGAGGTTCCCTGACTGTCAAACAGAAATACAGGAGGTGATTCCCGCTGCTGTGCGAGCTCAACATCCCCTACCCCAGAAAAACCCTCCCTGCCCACCCCAAAACCCCGCCAGCATCCTCAGCCCGACACCCGAGGCACAAAGGAGTTTCCAGGACACGCTGTCTCCGAGCATCCCGCGGCAGGGGACAGAGCTGTCCCCGAGGGGACCGTGCCCAGCGGTGACAAGAGGCACCTTTGTGCCGGCCTGAAGCGCTGGCTCGGGGGCGGCCGGGCCACAAAGATCCCTCTGTTCCCGCTCCGGGCGGCTGCCGAGCGCCGGCGAACGGCGATGGGAGAAAACACAGCCCCGACCCCACCGCCCCCTGAGCCCCGATTTCCGATTAAATTAATCCGGGGTGCTGCTAAACGGCACCCCAAGAACCGCGGGGTGAGTCCGTGGGGTGGGATT